GGCCCCCGCCGCGCCGCCGCCGCCGGGATAAAGGCTGAGGCACGACACGCGCGGGGACAGCGCTGCCCGCTGCCTGCCCGGCCCCCGCCGCCCCCCCGCCTGCCCCTGCGAGCCCGCACACAAAAGGCAGGACCTGCGCCGCGGGGAGGGGCAGGAAAGGAAAAGGAAGAAGGAGGAGGAACAAATAAACAAATTAAAAAAAAAAAAAAAAGGAAAAAGAGAGGGAAAAAAAAAGGTTTTTAGAATAGGGAATGAACCCCCCGGGCTCCCCAAAAGTCAGTACTAGCGGAGCTGGGTGCGGGGCTGGGTGCGGGGCTGGGTGCGGGTCGGCGCCTCCCTGAGGGAAAGGTGAGAGGAGGGCTGGGCGCAATAGGAGGCTCCAAGGGGTGCCCGCAGCCCTTCCCGAGGACGGGGCCTGGGGGGCTTCCCCCTCCATTCTTACCTGTGCGGGAGGGGCGGAGGCTCCGCGGGGCCGGCGCTGCTCCCGCGTGCGGAGAAAAGTTTGTGCATAGGATGGCATCACGGGGGGGCTGTGGGGAGCAGGAATGGGGAGTGCGGGTAAACCCCACGCCGCGGGGAGGCTCCCCCCGGCTCCCGCCCGGCTCCGCGGGCGCGGATCCCGCGGCCGTGGTGTGGGGAGGCGGGGGCAGCGCTGCCCAAAGCTGCTGGCATCGCCGGGCTGCCCCGCTGCCCGAGGGTCTTGGCTTGGGGGAGGACACTCACTCTGGGAGAAGCATTTGTTGACGGGACAGTTCTCGTGCATTACCATAAATAAACACACAGGTAGATAAATTAATAAATCCGTGGCCAAGCAACCTTCATCTGCACGCATATCCCCTCTCCGCTCCTCTTCCCACACCCCCAAGCAAATCCTGAGTAGTTCTAAAACTTATACTGCGCCCAAAGAAGTCCCTGATTTATGGAGTTTACTAATGCTAACTGAATACTGTCTGTCAGGCAGCGCTGAAAGGCTCTCCGCGCTAATACAAGAAAAGGCTTTGTGTTGCTAAGCGATTAGAGCAGATGTAATGAGATTTACCCCAATCCTGCTTTGCCCTTTCCCTATCTTCAGTAAAATTGTGTGTGTGTGTTTTCTTTCTTTCTTTCTTTCTTTCTGGAGGGGGCTGAGGGGAAAAGGGAGGGAGGAGGTGGTGAATTTCTGAGCCTGTCTTATACATTGTAGCGAACAACAGCGTAACTTTGCCTTTAGTTTAATGAGTCTGGATATTTACTATTCAGAAGTGAGCAAAAAAGAACACCTGTCTACACAAGGAAGAGAAATTTCGCCTTTGTAACAGAATGAAACATTATCCTAATGTTATATTCATAGCTATAAATTACTCGCTACACTTTCTTTGCATACCTTATCTGTACACTTGCAAAAGTGGGTAAATAAAAAGGGAGATGCTGTAAAGGGAGAACGGATGGCGGCACATAACGGTTATTATTTTCATAACTAAACATTAGTTCCACGAGCGGTTAAAACAATGAGTGTTTGTGCTAAAGTAATGAGGGATTTCGTGACCCCACCGTGTCCCGTCCTCCCGTCCCGCCAGCTGCGGCGGGGGCCCCCCGCCCCCCCCCCCCCCCCCCCCCCCCCCTCGATTAAATCACGTATTGATCATTTTGATCATTTCAGGGCGTGGGGGGAGGAGGCCTGAAGGAGCAAACGCGTGTATACTTTAAAAGCAATGCAGGAATACACACGTGTAAGCGCCCATGTGTGCATATGCGTCCTTGCATATGAATATATATCTATATCTATCTATCCATAGTTACACATACACACACACACAGGGAAAATTCCGGGCTCCTCCACCAAAGTTTTTCCCTCTTCTTTTTTAAAAATAGCGCATCCCTCGCAACTCGACGGCACATTTGTAGCGGGGCGGATTTTTTTTTTTTTTTTTTTAACTCCGTACGACACACTGGCTCTCCCCAATCTTTGTTGGGTTTTCTTTTTTTTTTTTTTTTTTTTTTTTGTTTTTTTTTTTTTTTTTTTTTTTTTTTTTTTTTTTTTTTTTTTTTTTTTTTGTAAGATGCATTTTGAGCTTTGCTTTCCGCTTGGATTGGTGCACGCAAACTGAATTTGCAAGTGATGCAGGAGCCAGGCGAAAAGAAGGCGAATTCTGGTCACGTCCTTGCTAACTGACAACAAGCAGGCTAGCCAAAAAAAAAAAAAAAAAAAAGGCAGGGAATAGGGGGAAGAGTCCAATTTCTTTTTGAGTCTTGGTAATTGGGTACTTTTACAGGCAGATCACGCTATTTGGGCAGAATAACAAGTTTGGAAAGACCAATAGCTCTACGCTGCCACCAATTTCTACTACTTCATTTATTTATTTAATTTTATCTCCCTTCTCCTCTCGCCTCCCGTCTTCCCCGGTTTTATTTACCCAGCCAGTGTTCGCAAAGGCAACACAGCGCCCCGTGTTTTGGGTGGCGGCGGCTGTGCCATCCTCCGTGTTTTCCTGCCCCGCTGGGTCAGAGCCGCGGAGGAGGACGGGGTCACACCACATCCCGAAACGCGGGATGGAGCGCCCTCTTTTTTTAAGACTCGGGCTTTAGGAGGAATTCTGTAATGTGCAGTGATTTCAGGAAGGACAATGCAATCATTAATCATCCCCTCTCCTTTTCATTTGGATACCATTTGCAACACAGGGCAAGAAAACAATGTTGATAGCGCTAGATCTTTGCATATTTATATAGAGATAAAGATATATATGTTACATCCATCAGGTACAAACACTTCATATGCAACTTAGCTCCGGTATAACATCGATTGACATTCTGTCCTTACATTCATCGTTGTCAATGACAGAAAGAAAAAAAAATGCATGCGGTAGGCAGCTGATCATTTTAATTAAAAAAAAGTTTTATTACAAAACTAGTTTGTATAAAATAGGGTTATACAGGACCTTTGTCAGTTTGTAATAAAACAGTAAGAAAAGGCAGTGGTGGTGGGGGGGGTTGTTTGTTTGCTTGTCTGGTTTTTCTTTTTTTTTCTTTTTTTTTTTTTTTTTTTTTCTTTTTCCCAAAAGGCAGCATATGAGAACAAACGGCTACCGTTTTGTGTTTGGACAATAGCTGCATAAACTTTGTTCATTCTGAACATTGTTTAATGACATTATTAATACATTAACAAAATTTCTATAAAGTAAGACACATTGGTGCTAAAGTACATCTGGAGGAAATCCAAGTCCTTTACAAAACCACATACAAAAATGGCAGTTGTAAGGTAACGTTGACTACGAGTCTAAACATGAAGAGGTAATAAGCATTACATATTAAAAAAAGTATCAAGATATACACATTTTAAACCATTTGTACAAAACCTCTATAAATCTCTCTCTCTTATGTACAAAAATAGCTTAATATATCCCCAACCGGGTTAGGATAGATACAAATAGATTTTCTTATCATAAAAAAATTCACAAAAAAAAAAAAAAAAAAAAAAAAAAAAAAAAAAAAAAGAAGAAGAAAAAAAAAAGATTGGAAGCATTCTATGATGGAAACAAGAGGAAAAGCTTGGATCGAGGGGAGGAAGAGGTACGGGGAGACGGAAGGTAGATGGGGCTCCAGGGACTTCTTTGAGTACAGCATAGCTTAACTTCAGCATCTCCACAGACATGGGGAAACTAACTTTGTCCACAGGTGATGAACGCCAGTCTCTGAAGGGCCGCGGCGGCGGCGAGGTGCGGAGATGGGCCGCCTTTTTGCTGAGGAGGAGGAGGAGGAGGAAGAAGAGCTCCTCCGCCGGCCGAGGGGCGCAGCGCCCTTTCCGCGGCCGGGGCTCCCCCGCCGGACAGCCTCTCCGCCGGGGCGCAGTCCGTGGCAGTGCGACGGAGCGCGAAGGCCGGCCGGTCTCCGGGGCTGGGGGCGACCGCCCCGACCGCCCCCGCGGCGCGCAGCGCTGTGCCCGCCCGCCGAGAGACGTGCCCGCACCGCCCTCCGACGGCAGGGGAACGGGAAACGCAACAGGTTCTTTTTCTGCGTGGATTTTTGTCTCTCTGTGTGTGATCTGCTTTTGTGTGGTTGTTTTTTTTTTTTTTTTTGTTTTTTTTTGGTTTTGTGTTTTTTTTTTTTTTTCCCCTTTTGCGACTGTCCTGTAACAATAAAAGAAAGAGGCGATCAGAGCCACGCCGCGACCAGCGCAGCGTCGGGCCGCAGAGCCGCTCGCAAGTTCCGCGGGACACGCGGCGCCCGCCCGAGGGGCAGCCCCGGCTGCGCCCCTTCCCCCGCGTCCGTGCCCCCGCTATCCCCCCGCTATCCCCCAGCCCTCCGCGGGCGCCTACCCACCTGCCGGGAGGGCGGCCGGCGCTCAGAACCAGCTTGTGAAGTCGAGAAGCTCCTGCTCCTCGGGGCTGAGCGGGTCGTAGGAGCCCTCGTCGGAGGAGTAGGAGGAGACGGGGGAGCCCGCCATGGAGTTCATGTCGTGGGAGTAGCTGGGCGAGATGGTGGGCGAGAGGACGCCTGCTTGGAAGGCGGCGCTGACGGCGTCATGCTCGTCGAGCAGCTGCTGCAGGGCGCGGATGTACTCGACGGCGGAGCGGAGCGTCTCCACCTTGCTCATCTTCTTGTTGGCAGCGCCGTTGGGGACGTGCTCCCGCAGCGTGGCGAAGCCCAGGTTCACCAGCTTCACCCGGTTGCGCTCCCGCTCGTTGCGCCGCGCCACGGCCGCCGGCTGCTGCTGCGGCAGGCTGTACCCGAAGCCGCTGAAGTTGAGCCTCCTCTTGCAGCGCATCAGCTCCGGCGAGGCCGAGCGCTGCCGCTTGGCCGCCCGCGGCGCCGAGGGCTTGCCGCCCGGGGAGGGCTGCCCGCCCGCCGGGCTGAGCTGCGGCGGCGGCGCCCCCGGGGGCGGCCCCGGAGGGCCGGCGGCGGCGGCGGCGGCCACAGCAGCGGCGAAGAAGCACGCCGGCTGCAGGAAGGGCGGCTGCCCGGCGGCGCTGGACATCCTGGCGGGGCTGCCGCTGGCCATAGGCGAGGGGGCGTCCTGCGAGGCGGGGGCGCCCGAGTGACGGTCGGTCCCCGTCCCCCCACCACCACAAAAAAAAAAAAGAAAAAGAAAAAGAATCAAAAAATTCGAAAAGAGAAAAAGGAAAAACTTGCGACGTTCAATCTAAAATTAAAAAAAAAAAAAAAAAAAAAAAGAAAAATAAAAAGAGCTAGGCGACCGACGGGAGCGGACGGCGGAGCCGGGCGGGCGGCGGGGACGGCGGGCGGCTCTGCCCGCCCCCCTCCCTCTCGCCCTCCGTGCGGCGGCCGCGGGGAGGCTCGTGGCGCTCGCGTGTGCGCAGGCTGCTTTGCAAAGCCCCTTTTGCAAAAAAGTGGCTGAGGATTGTGTCTCTTATAAGGGGCGGACGGGGCTCGTCCCCCCCTTCTCCCGCACACACACACACACACACACACACACACACACAGGCAAACCTCCCCCCGCCACCCCCCGCGCTCACACACGCACACCCTGCACCTTGCGCCTTCCACACTCCCCGGCTTTGCCGGCCGCGATGCACGGAGCGCTGTGGCCTTTTCAGCGCGGGGCACACACGCACACACACACACACACACACACACACACCGGCGCGGGGGCGGGAAAGCGTGAGGGGGAAAGGGAAGGGGAAAGGGGGGAGCCCTGCCCGCCGAGGGGCGTCCGAGACGGCGTGCGGATCCCGCTGAGGGAGAGGCAGCGGGTGACTCCCGGCGAAGTCCCAGGGTGTGCGGGGCATCCCCTGCTGGGGCCACCTCAGCGGCGCCTGCCGGGGTTTGGGGCGGGAGAGCCGCGGTGCGGGATGTGTAGGCACGGAGGCGCTCCGCGGCGCGGGCGGGCGAGGCGGTGCGAGCCCGCGAGAGAAGCGCCCTTGCCATTGCGGGACGCGACGCGTTCGGGGAAACTTCGTGTGCGGGACCTCGGCTCCTCCTTGTCCCTAGAGAGCACCGGGAGCCTGGTGTCGCTCCCTTCGCTCAGCGAGCGCTGTCATGCTCACTCCGTGAGTGTCCGAGCCCCACCGGCCGGGGCTGCCGTCCGCTCCCGCTTGCAGCGGCCGGAGCCGCGTGTGCCCGGCACCGCGCACGCCCAACGGGCCGCCTGATGGCTCTATTAGCCAGCGACAACCGGGGCGAGCCGGGCTGGGTGACAGGAGGAGGGCAGCTGAGAGCAGAGCAGGGTAGAGTTCTCGGGAGAAGTCACCTCGAATTACCCCTCTGGAATGCTGATCACCACGGGGTCAGCCTGTCAGGAGAGAAAGAACTAACCACTCCCGGGCACGTCCCACGCGGGCGGTCCAGCACGGGAAGGGAGGAGGTTTGGCTCATAAAGTAAGGGTGTGTTGGGCAGAGCTGGCAGGTGTGGAGCCAGCCAGCCCACCCTTCACTGCCAGATCCCATTTCCCAGCCCACACGGTCTGCTTGCTGGGCCCAGGGAAGCCAGTGACCCCCGGCTACTCCCGTGGCATCCTGCAAAGTGGAAGCGGGGCACCAGCTTTCCAAGCGGGCAGTGGCATTGGCTTGTAACTGGGGAGTCAGGATGGACCTGGCCTATGCAGGGGAAATTATCACTGCTCTCAGGTGAAGTCTCACTTGTGCTCAGGACCAAATGAGGCAAAGCAGCTCTGAGGTGCTGAGAGTTTGAGGCTGGTGTGCTTTGGGGGTCACACTGACCCTTGGGGCTGCAGAGGTGTAGGCAGAGGCATGACCAGGTCCAGCACCGGAGAATGATAATCTTGGCATTCTCGCCCTGCACTCCTGCCTTTCACATATCCATGTATTTCTGAAATCTGTAGCACATTTTCTACCTTCTACTCTGTCTCATTTCTACTTCTCTCTGCACCTTTCCACTCTGTAAACTCAGATATGTGTGCTTTCTAACCCACTAAAAAGAGCATAGCCATGGTATGTCAGCCTTGCCATGGTGATATTATGGCTCTAGGAAGTCCCTGGTAGGTGGCTTTAATCCCTGGTACTCACACCAGCTCCAAAGCGTGGAAGGAGGGGACCTGCAGAGTCCATGTTAAGGTTTCAGTGGAAATGACTGCAAAAGTAAGCCCTATACTGTTGTTGATCTCAATTACAGCAGTCTGGAGCTGTAGAAATCAGTTCTTCTCATCTGCCACTGGATCTCTGACCGTGGCTGTGTGTGTGAGTTAAAAAAGTGCTATGCAGAAACAGCAGAGGAGAACCTCAATGTGCACCTGCTAGCTGGTAATTGTATAATTTTTTAGCATGTCAGCTTTTAATGCTATGTCATGTTAAACGTGTCAGCTTTTCAGCACACGTGATGAAAAATGTGAAGTAGTTCTGTGTGGTCATATTTATTTTGGGACCTCTTCAGTGATCACTGACCAGTTTCTGACTTCTAGCCTACTGTCTCATCACGTGGGAAATGTTTTAACTTATTTTATCCACTCTTGGGCAAGGACAGCCAGACTTTATCAGGATAAAATGTTTGCTTGTGTTTCCTGTTTGGTGAGCTCTCCTCCTTCAGTTCCAGGTCTCCTGGGTGGTTTGTTCAACATCCCTTGTCTGATGTCAGAAGAGACTGCACTGGAAGCAGTTGTTGCACCACCAGCTCTGCATTATGACTTTGGGAAGTGCTAACAGAAATATCAAAGTAATTGCAGCCCTGTAAACTATATATATATTTAAATAGACTAATTCTTCTGGATCAGCCTGCTTCCAGAACTGGTGCAGAAGTACCACATAGGGACATTCCTGCCCTTTTTCCTAGAAGCGGCAGAATAAGACTGGAGTTTCTGGGTCCCTACTCCAGTCTCAGAGGGCTCTTAAAAAGGCAAAAACTGTGAGTCCCAGAGGTCACCAAGTGTAACTCATGTAATTGTGCCTCTGTGGCCCTGTACCCATTTGGCTACCCTGGGTCATGGTATGTGTTTGTGTGAGGGATGGATGAGGGGGGCAGAGTCTTTTCCTCCCTTTTCTCTTTCCTCTCACTGCCCCCGGGGACTGAACTCACCCGTTATGCCTGAGGTAATTCCAATCTCACCAGCTCCTCTGTGTGCTCACTGCGCAGAGTAAGGGACCAGGTTCCTAGATAATAAATATTGTTCCAAGGTCCCCTGCCTTCACTCACTCCTATGCACAGTCCTGCACCTGCGCCTTGAAATTCTTAATTCTAATAGAATGACAAATAGCCCTTGCCCTTTTCATTTGGCACTTTTACTTCAGTCTCCATTTATTTTTTTTATTTTTTATTTTTTTATTTTTAAATCTTGAACTGTCATTATTTTTTAGTGACTTTTTTGTGTACCTAAATTGTAGCCATACTCATGAGGCCTTTTGAAGGAGCCGCCTTTTTAAAAAAAAAAAAACAACAAAAAAAAAAAAAACCCAGCTCTGGTATGCTTTTTTTTTTTTTTTTTTTATCTTGCCACTTCTTTTCTTTTTTAAAGGCCATTTGCGTTATGATTAAATGCTGTCTTGGAAAAGCAGAACGAAAGTCGTTAATCTATATAGATCTTCAAAGAATCGATACATTCGGGACTTCTGTAGGATTTGTTACACTCCATTTTGTTACAGTAGGCAGCTCGTCTGGATTTGGGCACATGTGTTTTTCTCCCTCCCCTCGCCCTCCCCCTCGCCTTTCCAGCTTCCCCCCCAAGAGTGAAAATAAAGTAAAAGGTCTTTCATGGTAAACAAAACCAGCTTATTCTCCACATAGAACACATGAATAGCTGGAAAAAAAACTTACAATAAATGGTGCATTTTTTTCTCTGCTGGGTATAGCATTCAAGATCAGTCCAGTATTCAAGAAGCAGTCCATTTTTTGCTCAGCAAGAGAGTTTAGAAAAGAAGCGTGGGGTCTATTCAAGGATCTTTTCCCCCTTCACAATTGCTGGGCTTTATGAAACCTATCTTCCATGCCTTGTCAGAGTATTTCTGGGGACCAATTAGTGCTTTGTTGCAAGGCTTCTTTGCTGAATCTTTGAGCAGCAAGAAAAAGCTCTCTTGAGTCTCCCCTTATTTTGACTATTTCAGTCATTACTCAGTGTAATAATTAATATGACAACTGGACGCTGAAGTTTGTATAGAAACACCTCGGCTGCAGGAGAGAGCGTGCAGTGGGTGGTAACAAGCTACAGATCAGACCGAGAAGCCACACACACAAGGAAGGGGGGGAAAAAAAGAGAGGGAGAGAGAATAATGAATGAAAAGAAAGAGAGAAAGAATAAAGATAAATAAATAGTTGGTGTGGCCTGAAGAAACATAATACAGACTTGGAAGGAAAAAAAAAAAAAAAAAAGGCACTTTGAATGGAGTGGAGGGAGGGGGGTTAACTCCGGAGAGTTAAACTTATTTTGAAACAGTTTCCATGTGAATATAATTTTCAACATTTGCTACTTTCAGAAGTCAGAAAAGAGATTTTCTCTTGAAAAGGCAAGATGGTCCCTTGGGTAAGTAATTTTTACGGACCGTGTTTGCACTTTTGCATAGTTGATAAAGTTTAATGCCTCTTCCTAAGCGTCCCTTTTGGAAATAACTTAACCATGAAACCTTATTCTTGATTAATTGTTGACCACCCTGCCCAGGGTGGAGAAGGTGGGTTATCGGGGTAGTAAGTTCGAGTTTTCTTGGGGTTGTATCATCTACAAGAGGAATAAAGCCTGTGCCTCAGTGAAGAATTAAAAATGACGTTTGACCAGGGACACTGCTGAATTCTCCTCGAAAGGCGTCTTGGGATGAACTCTCATCACTTTGCAGACATTTCTTGGGCTGCCAATTAGGGCATAATAAATAATTAGAGGTTTTAAGCGTATTAGATACAGCTCATGCTAATGAGCTACATCAGGTCTTGTGCTAACCTGAAGTGACAGTTTGCATATAGGGCTGAAAAAAAAAAAAAACCAAAAAATAACAAAAAAAAAAAAAAAAAAAAACCCCACCAAAAAAAAAAAAAAAACAAAAAAAAAAAAAAAAAAACCAAAAAAAACCACACCAACAAAAAACAAAAAACCAAACAAACCCCAAACCCAAACCAGCCGCCGGAGCAGCTTTTCCCCGCGGCCCCGTCCCGCTCGCCCCTCCGCAGCTCCGCGGGTCCCGCCGGGCGCTGCCGGCGCTTCTCCCCTGCCCTCCGCGCCCGCGGAGCGGAGCCCTGCGCTGCCGGCTCTGCCGGGTGGCCCCATTGTGCAGCCACGAGCTGTGCGTCTGTCAGAGCCCCGGGGGATGAATCACACCGGGCTGCCCTCCCGCATACCCCCAGCGCCACTTTTTGGAGAGCTGAATATTTTGGGTGGGGGGTGGGGGGTGGGTTGTTCTCGGCTCCTCCGAGGCGGTGGTCCCCTGGCAGGAGGGGTAGCAGAGGTTTGGGCGATGCCTGCGCAGGATGGGAAGCGGATCCCCCGCTGTTCCCGGGGAGGGCAGGCAGAGGGGACAGCCGGTGTCCCCACCGCCGCCAGCCGCCTCTGCCGTGAGGACACAGTGCCACCTCCCGGCCACCCGGGAGGGAAGGAGCCGGGGAAATCCGGCGGAGAGGGATGGGGTGCAGCCCTGAGGCCTCGGGGAGCGGGTTCTGCAGTGAGAGCGGGCACGGCTGGTGCTTTGCTAGCACGATGCAGAGGGACCTGCGAGGAAATGCTGTCTGTCTGTCTGGGGTGTAAGGGAGAGCTACAGCACCCTGCGATCTCCGGTAAATGCATACACGATGCTGGTAAGGGGGATGCCCCCCTCCCATGCACACACACACAAACCACCTAAGACACTTGTGGAATCCTCATCTGGGAATTTTTTCCACCAGCTTCTGTCTTAATTAGAAAATTCCCCTCCCGCTGCTTACTGCACCCTCACATGAGCTGGGACATCCCAAACCAGCAGGGAAGCAGGGAGCTGCAGGCCGAGGATAGGCCCAGTGTCCTGGCACAGGAAGGGACATCTCTGCCCAGACACAAAGACTGAGAGCTCCAGGGAAGCTGCCACTCTGCAAATGGGTGGCAAAGAGCAGTCTGAAAAGCAGCCAAAGTCCATGGCCCCTTGAACTTGCATCGTGCCGGCCAGGGGAGCTTGCCAGCTTCAGTGCAAAGAGCCCTGTGAGCTGTGGCTGAGAGCACAGCCAGAAAGGACTACATGTGGTGTGTGCATGTGTGTGTGTGTACCCAAAGAAAGCGTGTTTTGGAGGGAGAACACGTGTTTTTAGGCAAAGGCAAGGTGGGACGTTAGTGCAGATCTGCATATCCTTGAAAGGAGAGGGGGTGCTTGGTGCAGAAGCAAAAGCCCAAAGCAGGACTAACAGATTTAAAGCCCAGGTGCTCACACCAGCCAGGGAATCAGGCACATGAGGAAGCTTGAAACCCAAGTGGGAAAATCTGGTTGGCAGTGTCACTGCAGGGGGATGAACCCATGCTTGGTACGCTGAAGTAGTACTTCAGAGAGGACAGGGAAAATCCAGCAGTTTGGACTCTGAAATGGCCCAAGGTATCAGATGCTGATGCAACTGCACATTCCAAGAGTAACATCACTGGGCACACACATACTCACTCACACACCCCCACACACCACTTTGCTCCAAAACAAGAGACATTGGGAATTCCTCCTAGCAGGATAGAATTGTTTTTCATTCAGCCAGTGCCTTTTGCTACCAGGCAACCTCTGACAGTGCAGACTGATCAAAGAGTGAACTGGTGGTAATACACTGGTGATATTGTTATGATTGTGTAACAACAAGGGTGAAAGATAATCTTGCAAAATAAATACAAAAAAGCAGGGGGTAGGAGGCAAAATAGATGATTATAAAGATTTGGCATGAGCAGTATTTTAGGTATTTGATATTTTGCCTTGTCTTGCCATTACCATTGGGCAGAGTGGACACATGTAAGAAAGGGGATGGAGAAAAGGAAGAAATAAAGACCAAAACATATCAAAGACATAAAAAGCATGTAAAAGACATAAAGAAGTAAAAGAGAGATTAAAGATTAGTGACAAGAGAAGGGATGGGGAAAGAAAGAGGAAGGCACAAACAGAGGAGAGAATATTTTATCTCACTGAAAAATATACCAGGTGGCAAAGGCATGGTGTATGGGGAAAGTAAACAAGACTAGTTTCTGGGGTCTGTCTTGTCCTGCACAGGGGCTATAATCAGAGTTGTCACCATCTTCATCTCACTGTTATTTTTTTCCAAGGTGGCCTTCAGTCTCCCTATCATGGATAGGGCTGTGCCTTGTGCTGCACAAACACAGGATACAAAATACTGGCTACCATAATGAATTTACTGGCTGAGTAGTTAAAAACCCAGTAGTTTTTCTACTGCTGTCAGTTACTGGGGATACTTTCCCCCACTGCTCTGCCTTTCCTTGCCCCATCCTCCTGCCATGTGAGCAGAATCCAGTGTGTTTAATGTGCATTTGGCTACATTAACCCGCCAGCCCATACCACAGGCTTGCTGATCACTTCAGAAATAACTTTCTACCCTACAGGCAGTTTCAGGATACACAAAGAAGCAGCTCTTCTGAAAAAGGTTCGTATTTGCACCCAAAGCACAGAGTCACTTCAGATGCGTGTTATATAATTGATAATTTTAGTGGGATGGATTCTGACTCCACAGTAAGAACTAAGAAAATTGTTCCACTCAGTTTCCCCACTGTAAGGCTGCTGGGTTTTGTAGGTATGAAAAATTTACAATAAGTCTTTTCTAGTGTTCGCCAATATGAGTTTGCACAGGTGTGCGCAGTAGAGCTTCCTTCAAGGACAAAATAACTGTAAACAGAATTCATTTCATCATGAAAATATAGCAAGATCACCTGGCTTGACACAATTTGTCTTTGTAAGACTTCATTTTCCCAAATAGCAAGATAGATACTTGTCAAGTTCCTTCATTTTTTCACCTGCTCTCTGATATTGTGTTACAGCTTTCCAATCTCCTTTACCGCTTTAGGTGACTCTTATTAAGCCAAATTTGGGCTCTCTCATATCAGTACTTTACTAACCTTTCCTGAAATCATTTATGTGTCCCACCCTGTTCCCCCTGTGCTTTCCATGGCTGACACCACATGCAAGCACACGTACATCATCTGCAGTTCTACATCTTCCTGCCCTGGAGCTCTGACCTACTCTTTCCTGCTCCTTTTCTTCCTTTACCTTCTTCCCTTTCCCCATGCTCAGGCTCACATCTCAGTGTGAGGTTCATGCTGCTAACTCCTGTCTCATGCTTCCCCTGTACTGGCTGTCTCTCTCCAGTGTCCAGTGAGCACAGTGGTGTCTCCTGCTCTCTGAGCTCTTTGGCAACAGCCCCAGAGGTCCTGCTAAAGGACAAATCCCTCAGCTGCTGTGCCTTGCCAGAGCCTTCCGTGCCTCACGTTTGACATCCAAAGAACACATCCTGGAGAATGTCTGATATCTGTCCAAGGGGAGTGACCCCGAGGTGAAACCCACCTGCGGCTGAACATGCAGCTGCATTGGGAAGGAACAGGCTGCAGGCTGAACTGAAAACCATGTGTTGACTTGAAAAAATGAAAACAGCTGATGTTGATCAGGAGGAGGAAGGCTGTTAATTCAGAGCGTGCTGCTCCTCCACGTTGGGTGCAGACAGAAACAATCTGCTGGAGAGCTGCTCCACGCAGGCGTGGGACTCACAGGGGATGGCCGGCGTGGAGCTTGGTGTGCCAGGGGTGGGTGGGGGGGGCGTGCAGGGAGAACGCCCCCTTGGCATGCTGTCCAGGGGAGGGAGCTGGGGAAGGGAATGGCTTTGCCTTGGCTGCTCCACTTTAAATACCTTTGCACAGATCTCTGGCCACTGCAGTTAAGCCAGAAGGCTTCACCTGCTGTAGTGGAGGAGCCTCCCTGTGTGGGCATTGCTGCCTCTGCAACATGGACTCCCAGCACTGCAAAATGAATGGTGACTCTTTCCAGGTAAGTGATGCGGTCTGTGCCTGCCTTTTGCAGAGGTGGAGGGGTGTCCTGCCTCACTCCTGCGCTGCTATGCTTGTCCTCCACTCTCTGAGAGGCAGTGTGACCCAAGAGGGGAAGAATCAAGGTGGCCTGTCATGATGCTTAGCAGTACCTGAGCAATTTTGGCAGCTCCTGTATTTGTCTGCTCTTAATTGTACTCACAAAAAACACAGCGAGAACGCAAACAAATATTGTAAAAGTATCCTTGTGTACATGGCAAAAAGACAAAGAATCAGAAAAGACCAGAAGCTTATTGGAAGTCTTAAATGTGTGTGATGAAAAAAAGCTGTCTTCTTTTGTTAAAGGAAAACAGATGAAATTATGTGTGCAGCTTTTTGTTAAATTTGGGGCTCTCTTGTTCTCTTTTTTTAATGTTTACTGACTGACTGACTTTGAACTCTTTGCTTTGGGAAATACAGGAAGGACCTGAAGTTCATGCCTTTTAAATACAGGCACTGATGTTACTGCAGGGGCAAGTGATGTAACCTGAGGCCAGCATGGTTAATTATTAGGACAAAATTCTGCACTTCTCTGTCCTATGCAATGATGCTGAAGCCAGAGACAAGCTGCATCAGATGTGCAAAAAAAGGGGCTTCTATTTTTCATAAGAGCAGAGAAGCCAAGGAAGCCTCTATTCCTACTTGGTGTGCTGAGGCTGAACTCCCACAGTATTTCTCTAGAGTCTCACCTTGCTGCTTATCCAAGTTGTGTAATTGCTTTGTTCCAATGATGACTGCCATGATGAGCATTTAAATGCCTTAAGAAATCTGACTTGGAAACTAATTCCATTTTGCATATCTAGTGAATTTGAACATTACAGCAGTGAAGTGAAAATTTTATATCTCTGAAATTGCAAGAAAAACTTTACCTGGCTTTACCAGTGTTGGAATTCACTCTGAAGGGCTTTAGCTAAATGCCTCAGCAATGGATTAGAAGGCTGACAGGATTGTGTTATTGACCCTAAGGCTGCCACCTGTGTCAGAATGGCAATACCAATCTATGTGCAGTGTGGCTAACTAAAAATGCAGGTTTGTGCTCAGGTAAACCTATCCTTGCATCTACATAACATTTTGTTTGAGATTGCATACTTGCAGGGGATATAGTGCAAGGTCCAGGATGGCTGTTCATCCCCTTCAACTGGTTCTTATTTTATTTCCTGGAAAAAAAACAGATCTGGAAGAAAATTGGAGCTGAATTTATGCACAGTGTAAATCACATATACATATCACAGAGACAATATTTCAACAAAATAAAATTGTTTCTTCAACTCTGAATCATAATCACAATAGTAACACAACAGTCAAACTACCCCAAAGCTGCAATTCCTCCATGTATGTTGAGGGACTAGAAGTCAAAGTCCAAAATGAGAATGGAAAAAACTGATCAACAGTTAAAGCTATGCATAAGTACAAAAAGCTCAGCAACAATGTGAGTGCCTCTGTTTTTGCTTGCTGTCACCTCCAGTGCACGTGTTGAGGTTTATTATCTGCAGTGTGCATTGATGCAGGCTGCCTCCATTATCCTGATAAGAACTGGGTACCAGCAAAACAATCATTTCAGTCTTCTCTCCCTTTGCAATTAAAGATGTTACCTCTGTGACAGGCTCAGGCATGGACTGCTGCTTGTTAAAAGACCTTCCAGGGAGCTGAGGTGCAGATGTGCAAGAAGTTAAGCAAGTATGAGTCTGTTTACAGCACTAGTGCCTGCTCCCTACTGCAACGTGTCTTTCTCTTAAGCACCAATATAAATCAACTTACAAGAGTGGGAAAATGACTGAGGACAGATTGAAAGCAGCTGATCTCAACAAATCAAAGCTAGTGACCAATGAGTTTGGAAAGGTTTTTTAAGACTTTTTTGTCTAATCTCATTGTACAAAGAGATCGATTGTTATCATCAGGATTACCTTGCAGGACTTCAACTTTGCACTATATCCCCTGCAAGTATGCAAACCACGAATTGTTTGTCACACACATTCAAGTCAATCTGTCATATAAGTTGGTTCTCACAGCATGACTTGGCAAGAATATTTTGAATATATAGCTGCATGTCTTTTAGAGCAGTTTCATTGCAGACAGTGAAAACCAAAATCTCGATCCGTTGGACGGACAATGGTGGAGCCACTTCCATCCTTGAGATGTGGTGGGTGTGGTGGGTGAAAACAGAAGGAAAAAAGCAATGCATGGATAGTATTTAAGATGACAGTTTTGGTCACACTACCATAAAATTTCAGTACTACAGACATTTGTTTTGGCTTTTGCCAGACTCCTGTCATCGTTTTCCCTTGTGGTTTTTGAGGTGTAAATGGGCTTCATTAGCCAGCTGACACATCCAGCACTTCCAGCTGCTTTTCCTCTTGGTCGTCCCCATGTGAGAGCTGGGCTGACTCCCTGGCTGCATGGGGACTCAGGAGACACAGAGATGCTGCAGGAAGTGTCACAACTGAACAGGTGGCACTCTTCCTTCTGGGGCAGCACTTCTACTACAATTTGCACTAGAGGTCCCTCATACAGCTGGTTTTTGGGAAACCTTTGCAGCCTCTGGAAACAAAGCCAGACAGAAAAACAGACTGTGTGGCCAATTTGTTAGCAGCAACCTTGGAGGCAGCCTCAGAGATGGCTTGAAGAATCAGCAATTATTTACTTTACAAAAGAAAGCAGCTCTTCATAGCTCTGCCTCAGGAAATGTAGACCCACCAAGAGCTTTATGGCTTCAGGGCAGCTGGCTTTGATTGTTAATTTGTCTTCTACAAAGGCTATCTTTACTGAGGACAATATTTGGGAACTGGGACTCTTTTTACTCTGATTTATATGTTCAGTTGAGCAACAGCCATAATGAGAGCAAGCTCTGCCCAAAAATACAGATCTTTATAAGAAATATTTGAATGGGTACCTTGAATCAAGCTTTAACCCAGGACTTGTTACACCAGAACTCCTCTGTGTTGCAGATGTCTGGTGTGATCTTTGAAATAACAGCCACAGGCAATTTGTCCATGGCCAGTAGATGTTAAAAAAATGGAATAAACACGCAAATAAGACATTAATGTGGCCTCCAAAAGTTTGTGATGGTTGTATACATCTAATTTAGTCTGATATCATAAAAATTAGGTGGTTGATATCTCAGCAGGAATTTACCTGCCATGCCAAGTACCCAGCTTTCAAGATCTGCCTCAACTCCAGGTCTCAGTTTCCTCTTTCAGAAGGGGTGAAATAGCTCTTCCCTTCTTAACAGGGCTTTTGTGAAACTAAACACATGTAGAGACATGCAAAGGCATTATAGTAATGAGAACTGTGAAAATAATGAAAATAAACCTTTGAGAGTACTGGAAATTGCCTTTTGGAATTTGCAGTGTAGAAAATCAATAAGAGAAAGGGAACAAACATAAATGAAAGCACATCTTGCCCTCAGTCTTTACTCATTATAGGATTTAGGGAAGATCTAAATGTTTGCTCCAACATTTTTCCTTTTTTTTTTCTTTGATTTTCTTTGTTTGATGTTGTAGTTTTTTTTAAAATCACCTTCCATATCCTTCCTATGAATACTACCTCTGTCCTGGGGATACCTGGCAGGTACAAGCAGAACTGAAGGGAAACACAGACCGTGGTCTGCATCTCTGCACAGAGCTCATCTACATTGCTCTGCTTAACCCTGAGTGCTGATGGAAAGGAAGCCTGAGGGAAGGACTTTGCACTGGAGCTGAAACCAAAGTGCAGCAATGTCTCCAGTCATCCCTGAGGGGGAACGTGAGGCAAGGATGGTGTTAGGTTTATTTGCATGCCCTTTTTGGCTACCTTGCTCTCACAAGGGCTCTAGTTTGAGAGAAGGGGTTTGTGTCTCTACCATGGTGAATCAGAGCAGCCCCAGAGCTGCTCTGCTCCTCACAGAAGCAGGGAATCTGCCTTGATTCCCACTCAGAGCTGTTTCATACCTTCTTTACATCGCCGGTGCTGTGCAAAAGGGACAGACAGAAAGGCAATACTGACTCCTAGGGTGAATGGGAGTAATTTTCGTTTGTGTAATTTTTCTTTCCTTTCAGGAATCTAGCTACATTGAAGACTCCCCCAGTAAAAATGGTGTGATTTCTTTGATTTTCTCCCTGAAAGAAGAAGTAGGGGCATTGGCTAAAGTCCTGCGCACATTTGAGGTAAATATTTTCCTTCAGGTCTTTACAATTTTATATTGTAGCCACACCTTCTTAGGGTCTTGGAGGTTGTGTCTGTGATTCTATTTCATTGCTATTACAGGGGAAAACAGCCTCCATTTCCTTTCTGGGCTTAAAATCCCTTAAAGTTTTGGGGCAGAAGTAGCTTTTTTAAACTAAAACCTCGACCTTTAACTGACATGAGGGTGAGAAAAATGCATTTTTTCCACTTAAGAGGGAAATATTTAATCATAACTGCTGTACTAAGAGGTAGAGGTGAGTTGGGCTGTGACCTAAGATTGACTTATAACCAAGTAATTTGCCTTATAATTTGTAAGGCAAATATAACCTGCAGGTGAGCCACGTGACTCACAATGCACATCTTGTCCACCCAAAAAAATCTGATATAAAAGATTCTACCATCTCCCACCTGCAGTACTTCTAGAGAGTGGGTAGAGGGTGCCTACAGAACAGCACAAAAATGACAGCACTTTTTTTTACACCAAAGGGATTCAGTAACTTATGCTGAGTGATTTGGAAAATTTTTGGGGAAACACAGAGCCATTTACCTTTCAGGACATTGTGTGCATATTTATTCTAGCAGAAATATTTCCCAGACGTCATGAATGTTGTTTGAAAAGCACAAAATCCTTGTGGTTCAGGATGGTTGTGTTGCAACACACAGCTGTGTACTCTGTGCTCCCAAGCAAATACACTTTTATATTAGTTCTGTGGCTTTTTTTTTTTTTTTTAATGCAATAGCTGTGCCTGAAAACAGCAATTTCTTTAGAACACTCTAAGAAGTTGTGGCCTGCATATTTTCCATTCGTAAATTGAATTTACTAGGAAATGAGAGGTTGTGTGTTATGGATACAAAAGAAAAGTAATTATAAATTTTAGGACATGTTTGATTCATTAAGATAAAAGGAAATTCACCAACAACAGAAGAGCAAGTCTAAATCTGTGAATTGACTAGTAAAATCCTGCAAAATGTCCATATGTCAGTGATGTGCATGTTTGTAAATTAATTAATGAGACTGTTGATATTCTCTTATTAAATGCATTGATGTCTATTAAGTAAATTGCTGTCAGCTCTAAAGAAAAGTTTGTAGAGGAGCTAGTACAGGAAAGAGAGAAGTAACCACTTCTTGGACGTGACTTTTCTTGCCCCAAAGCAGATACCCAAAATAGACCAACAGAGTCACTTTTCCCAGTGTCCCTGATTGCAGCTGAGAGGTTGGGACTCGGGTGGTTTTCCACCCAACAAAGCCAATTCTTTCTGTGCTAACTCCCAGCCTCCTCCAGCACCAAGGCTGGACAAGACACCTGCCATAGGTGCTCTTATATCAGTTTTACATTTGGCATTGTGATGGATGGATGGATGGATGGATGGATGGATGGATGGATGGATGGATGGCATTTAATGGTACAAGGACAGCTCCTCAGGGCTGTTGGTGAATTCCTGGTGTAAACCAGAGAAGCCTGTGGGCTGTTGTAACTCCATTCCAAGAACTCCACAGAGGTGTAAGTTTTACATCCATGCACAGCTGGGAAAACCTTCCCCCTTTTCCATCTGGGCCATAGCTATGGTGCCTCAGACAAACAGACTGTGCTCACTGGCATCCACAGCACAGACAGGGAAAGTGGTGATAGGCACGTAAGGAGCGGAAACAAACAGGAAGACCTTGAGGGATTTTTTTTTTTTTTTTTGTCTTGTACTCCTTCACTGCCTAATAGCACTAGCTGAGAGATGCTACTGGAATTAGTTCAGTCTCTCTGTGGGTGGGCTCCTTGGGCAGGGAGACACCCAGCCTTGTCCCCTGGTTTGTGTCACCAGCTTGCTGCTGGCCTGTGGAAATGTGGTGGATTTGTCTCAGAGGGGCCTCCCAAGAGGAGATTTGAGGGTGGCTGCTCCAGCTGTCATTGCCTCATGCAGCCACATGCAGGAGGAAAAGAGAAAACTGACAAGCCACAAATAGGATCAGGCTGTTTCCCGGAGCAGATGTGGTGCTGCAATTGTTCACTTCATGGAGGGGGTCCACACCTTGTGCATCTGCCGGAGCTGCTGGCCATGTGTTGCGTGTCTGTAAAGCTTCTGCTCCTCGCTGAGGTGGGGGTGCCCAGACTGCTGGCATCTCTCTGGGCACTCATGCATGGCAATGCAGCCCAACCCTCTCCTCCCAGCCCAGATTTGGGAGTGATCAAGGGACAGTGCCTCCAGCACTGCCTTTGAGGATTTTGCCTCTTTTCTAGACAGTCTGTAAAACTAATCTGGGACATGAAAGGGAGAGGAGGAGGGTTGAATGAGCTGTAAATATGAAAGACTTGGAAATTTGCCCTCTTTCCCAGGAAAGGAAACATGGAAGCAAGATCCAGACTGAGTCATAGGGAATTGAGGGGATACCTAAAGAAAGGAGAAATCTTGAGGAGCCATCAGCACACAGGATGTCTTTCTGTAGAGGAGGTTTCTGCACGGACCTGGGAAGGCTCATCCTCTCCTTTGTTTAAGAACTGGAAAAAAAAATTTTTACTCTGTGGGAGCATTGTTCAGCCACACTTGAGTCCCTTCCTGGGATGCACTCCCAGGTTCACACCCTGCCCATGTCCCACTCCTGTGCTGGGGTGAAACTGTCCAGACTTTAGCCCCTGTCACACCTTGTTCTCCATGGGCAGCAGGACAAAGGGACACCAAAAGGGGTGCTCTGATATAAAAGGCCTGCCCCTGGATATCATGAGGCCCAAGACTTCTGGCTCATCAAGCATCATGGCAAGTAGAATCACTAGTCACCCACAGAGCAAACCACCCAGGAAAGGAATTAGTGTCCAAACACAGCCCAGATGGAAGGGGTAAGCCCCCATTATGGGAGCCACGATGGACTGAAGTTAGGGGAGCCTCCTCCAGGCAGGGGGAGGCTCAAGGCTAAGAGCTACAGAGTGCTCATGGCACAAAATTATGTCCTCTAACTGAGACCCCAAGTTTAAGAGAATTTCAATGTGTTTTGTGGAAAGAGTAATGTTTGTCCTACTCAGACATCCCTCAGGGTTGCTCATGCAGTTGGCAGAGTACTGCATGCTCACATTTGTTTTTTTTCTCAAAGACCCAAACTCTAGTTTTCTGTTCAGGTTCCAGTTGCACACAAGTATGTGGTGACAGTGACAAGTTTTGTTTTTCCTATGTAGCTTGAAGGGCTTTTTCCTGAGTAATATTCTCAACGAACTTGGCTCTTTTTGTCTGCTGGCTTTAGGTCCAAAACATACTTGATTATTTCCACTTTTTTCTTATGTTTGCTCAGGAAGACCCATCTAAACACCTGACCTCGGCAGGGTTCTAAGCTTTTCTGATCGCTGGCTCTTGCCCCTTCTCTCTGGTTTGCAAATCCTTGCCTGACTGCACGAATCTGTTCCTCCTGGACTGGCACAGCATAGAGCTATGCCACTGCTGGCAGTACAGCCCCTGCAGCCCCTTCTTCACTGTCCTGTCTGCAGGGCCAGATTCACACTCTGGTGTGCTGTGAAGTGTTAGCAGCTCAGTCATGCTCAGCAATAAGCAGATTGCTAAAGCTGAATCCACTTTGCTTCCACACTAGCTGCTCTGTTTGTATGTTGGGATGTGGCAGACATTCACTTTTTGCTTGTCAAACCCAATTGTTTTGCACTTGAAAAGCCCCTTTGTCACCTCTGTCCTCATTGCAGGCTTGAGGGTGGCTGTAGGGGCAGCACAAATCCACCAGCAGGGTCTTTACACCGACTTAATTTTAATGGGATCTGCTGTACACTGAGGTACTCCTTAGTGTAGCCCTGTGCTGTTTATTTGTGTTGTAGAAGATGACAGCTAGGCAGCCAAAACTTGAATAAATACCTTCATCTGAAACGGAACAGCACACATGAGTAAAGTGCTGAGGTACTCCTTAGTGTAGCCCTGTGCTGTTTATTCACACATGAGTAAAGTACCATGCTTACATTCAGGAAGACAGAACAGTCATCATGGAATTGTGTTTCTTTTTTGATTCACTGGATATATCAAAAATGTTCAGAGTATAAGTTGAGGCCAAAAAAAAGAGAGAAATCTTCCAAGTTTCTTATCAAAACTGAGCACTTTGGGTTGACCCAAGTGTTACACTTGGTAGAAATATTTGTTTCTCTGTAGTGATAAAAATCTAAGGAAGCTTTTTTAAACAACAAAGTTCATTCTGAAAAAAAAAAAAGTGAAGAAAACCCCACATTTTTCCCCCTCAAAGATTGCCTTTTCTGTAGTTAAATACATAATTAAAAATATCGGAAATAAGAATTTCTATATACAAAAAGGATTGCCTTCAGTTTTAATTGCAGATTTTCCACATTAATTTGTGAATACATGAATCTTCTCTGAAGTTCTTTTCCTGATGGATTTACAAGTAGTAAATTGTCAGCTGTTTTAAGTGGCAAATGTTGGAATACATCACGAGTTTGCTCTATCCATTGTGAGAGAGGAACCTTCTGTCTTTTCCTCAGTGATGGGACCTCCTCAGATACAGAGCAGGACTTCAGTGCAAGGTGCAGCCATCAGTGAGTAGGGCTGTAGCTCAAAAGCAAAAAAAAGAAAAAAGTTGATTTGCACCAAGTAGTCATGCTCCCAGTGTAGGTTACTGTCCCATGGGGGTAAGTTACTGTTCCATAGAAAGATGGGATGGGAGTAACAAGCTGTTCTAAATGAGACCTGCCACTTTCAGAGTCAGCAGAGGTAACTCTTTTCTGTTTCTGTTTAGGAGCTTCCTTCATTCCACAGAAGGTCCTATGTGACTGTTATCTCTTTGTGCCCTGGGAAGGCACTGGCTCTGCAATGGCTGGGGTTGTTTCCAAATCAGGGGGAGAAAGCAGTCACTTAGGGCAGGGGGTATGCTGGAAGTGTCTGCAGTGATGGGTGAACTGCCTTGCCTCTGGCACAAGACAGTTTTTTCATTATACTGTACATGTGCACAGAAGTGATCATTTCATTACACTGCTCCAAATCCACATCCTTGGTCTTATCCCTCCTCTTCCTCTGGCCACAAGAGCAGGATTTCTGGATCTAATTGATCACCATGGGTTTGAAGAGAGGAGTGCACTCTTCACAGCTACTTATGCAATGCCCCACGCTGTCACGTTTTTGGATTGTCCTGCTCCACGTGATTTGTAGCCAGATTCTGTTGCAAGCCTTGTGCCAAATGTCAGGGTTGGAGCAGAGTGATGGACACCAGGGGCTGCTCCAGGGCCAGCTGCCCTCTGGCACTCCGTTGGCAGGGACCTGCTCTGAGACACTTTTTCTCCATGGGCTTGGAAGGGAAGCCCTAGCAGTTGTGAAGGAGAATATTCTCTCTGTCTCCAGCTGAGAAACAGGCCCTTGGACAGTCGAGTTGAATCAGATGGCTGCCTTTGCCTTTGTTTTGGGAATCCATGGCTGAAAGCATTGCTGTAATTACCTAAGTCCTCTGACCTATGAAAATTAAGCACTGAGCCTATACTTGTGCTTCTGGAAGTGTCGTCCTTCAGGAAACCCTGCACTATAACATGACTAGGGTTAAAAAAAATCTCATCTTTTTTTTTTTTGGTACCAGAAAGTGCAAGTAAAATCCTCCTTTTGGGAGACTTTACCCAAATTCTCACTTAGTGTTGATTAGTGGCATCATAGTGTTATTGAAAGTTCTTCATCTGGTAACAGTGTGGGGTCTCCTGATGAAGCCAGATTTCATTAATGGCAGCAGTCATGAAAAGAAGCTGCAGCTGGATTTCACAGCTGTACTTAGTTTTAGAACCATATATAGGAGCATTTAGTAATTAGTGAACAGAAGGATGTGTGAGAGTCATGGGAAGTAGTAACCCATAACAATTTCAGAAAGGATCCATCCCTACTGAAAGCTTCCCTGTGTAGCCATGAACACACAACTTTCCTTTTCCAGTGACCAGGCCATTAAACAGAGGGTGGGACTAAATTCTCTTGGTAGTGACCTCAGCAAGACTGCTGGTGTAGTGCAACACCAGTCTGGTTTTCTCCTGCTCGTGTGAGGCAACTGCAGCATAGGTGGTGCTCAATTAGGATGGAAAACCTGGAACAACCTGGGCAAGGGGCTGGAGCTGCTTCACAGACTCTGAGAGGGAGCCAAGGCTGAGATCCAGCACTGTGAGGTAAGGCAGGGAGGGACATGGGCAATCTCCTCCCTGCATCCACCATTGTCTCTGTTTTAAATATATATTTGTCTTGCTACCCCCTTCAAGCACTGTTAGAACTAATTCTAGCTTGATCTTTGAGCTCTGAGAATGTGTCTTGAGACTTCCTTCTCTAATGGGCAGTGATATTGGATACTGGATCCGTTGACTTGGGTATTAAAATAACAAAAGCTGAGTTTTTCCACCCCTCGGAGTGTGGATTTTAAGAAAGGATTAAGAAAAAAGAAACCTACAGCAGGCACATGGTTTTATGTCTATAGGGGAGGGACTGAGGGACTCAACCTCTCCCCTGGTCATAAACCTGAGGAGAAAGAAAGAAGTACCAACCTCCTCTCCAAGTTCCTTGCAGCTGCAGTGGGTGGTGGGGTGGATTCATCAAAGACACATCTAATCTCACTCCACGGGCCCATCTGATCCCTACCACCTCTAAAATAGGAAGGACAGAAGAGATCCATGTTAATAGCTTGGATGGGAACCCAGCCACAAACGTGTGACAGTTGAGATCTTCCAAAGGTGTTAGGTTAAGAGTTAGGTTCCATCAACAAAAAAGACCTCATAAAACTGGAATAACTTTTTTTAGCTGACTTTTGAAGGCATACATTTTCAAGATGTCAATCTCTACTAAAAAGCAGATAGACATTAAAACTGCTTAAAATGTACAACTAAACCAAAAAAAAATGCCCCCATTCTCCTTTCTCAGGTAACCATTTGTCTCCAGAAGTTGGTGCTTTAAAGAAAACTTCATCTATTGGGAGAAATGTGATGCAATAGCAAGATTTGGCAACATCAAGGATACAAAAAAGTTCTGAACAGTGTGAAACTATGAAGATTAAACACTAGATGGAGTAGTAGGACTAGAATGAAATTGAGATTTATAAAGCAACTCTAGTAACAGAGCCACTGTAAATATTTTGAAATCAAGGGCTTAGTAGCAAGGCACAGCAAATGAGAACACACTTCTCCAGGAGTGCCAGTTCAGGGAGTTGGACATATGCTGCTGGATTCTTGCTCTATAGACAGTCACCAGAAGGGTTCTCCCTTCAGCTTCTCTGTTGTGGGGTCCTGAAATCTCAGCAGAAAGAGGTAACAGGCTGGCTCTGGACGTTGCTGAGTGGCAGATATCCCTCAAATAAACAGCAAAGCAGCTTGACATTCTGTGGGAACGTATTCTGCTTCTCTCAGGTGAGAGAAAGGAGGTAACTCTCTCCATGGGCTCCTTCTTCCATGGGCTCCTTCCTCCATCTTCTTTTTTCTCCCCTTTTTCTCACTGTCTTAGGTTGTGATAGTTTGAGGGATATTGATACTCCTGCTGCCATAAGTGTGTCTCGTGCCCACCCTGCAGCTCTTCATTCCCAACCCTTGCATCATCCCGTTATAGGGGGGGCATTGCTGTCTGTCCAGCTGCTCACTGAGCCTGACTGGAGAGCTGGTACAGTAGAAGAGTCACCTGATCACAAAACAAAGGGATGCAGTTTAAGGAGCCTTCAGCCCAGAGAAGAGAAGGTGCTGGGGGGATCTTATTGTGGCCCTCCAGTACTCAGAGGGGTCCTATAAGAAAGAAAGATGGGGACAGAATTTTAGCAAGGCTGTTTGCGATGGCACATGGGGTGATGGTTTTAAGCTAAAAGAGTGTGGATCCAGAGTAGGCATAAGGAAGAAAACTTTTAGGATGAGGATGGTGAGACACAGCAAAGGCACAGCAGCTCTCTGTGCCTGCTCTCTGTCAGGAGCTCCCAGTGCCTCACCACATGGACAGGACAATAGGCAGTCTGTTTGGGAAGCAGGGCTTTGGAGGCCTAAAACAAACTGTCCCCAGGGCCAAGGACAGTGCTGGCCATTCTCTCCCTGGACAGACAGCCCTGTGAGGACGGCATCTCTTGAGAGCAGCAGTTGGTGAATGAGCTTTTGACCTTTTCAACTTATTGTATTGGTATCTAGCCAAACAATTTGAGTTCATCTGTAGTGTGCAATGCTCAGGAAACAGAGTAATGACATATATGTTTCCTACCAAGGAATAAGCTGCCTTTTGTGGAGGAGTAAATCAGGCCTTTGCTGCTGATGGCCAGATGCCCTCCTGCGCTATGCAAGCACTGAGGGGAGCAAAGAAAACCCTAAAGAGGCTCAGAAAGAAGGATGTACAGTTTAAAAATCTTCTATTTTTCTTCCTTGTAGGTCAAAAGTAGATCCTAATGGCATTACTTTGTGGATGAAATCCTGACTCCACTGTAGCAGGGGGTTTGACATTGACACCAGCAGGGCCAGCACTTCACCACATGTAGTTTGGAGTCTTCTTCAGCTTGAAAGACAAAAAGCAACAGTTTCTCCAGGGATGCTGATCACCACATGTCAGCCCCTCAGACTCTTCTGAGGGTAATGATTCTATGATTCTGTGATCTTCAGGCCCAAATTTCCTCCAGGGATTTCTATATTCGTCCCAGGGGACAGAAGCCCAGACCTGGCCATGGCACGCTGTGTCTGCAGCACCAGTGTGAGCCTGATAAGATGGCCAAGGGGCAAAGTCAATGCCCATGGAAACCTGTTAAAAAGATTTTCTCAAAAAAAACCCCAAAAAAACAAACAAACAAACAAACAAACAAAAAACAAAAAAACAACCCAACAACAACAAAAAAAAACAAACCTAGGAAAGAAAGCAGTGTTTTCATATTCAAGTTATAGTGCTCAAGAAAACATCTGAGTTCAGTTAACAGGAGTAAATGTTCATGGACTTTTCTTTTGGACTTTCTGGATTTTTTTTTTTCCTAAACATTTTTTGTTTCCTGGACTTTTTATTTGCTTTTTGTTGGAAAAATAGGATTTTTAGCTACTTGTTGCTTACACATCAACATGGCAGCATGTCTGAGGTCAGATTCCCACTGGCTATAGTCATCAATGCTACAGCTGCCAATGATCACTTTCTTCAGAGCTAGGAGACACTGCTGATGGTCAGCAAAGATATTTGGTGAGACAGAACTTGAATTTCTGTGCTAAAGAAAATAATCCTTCTCTGTGAGGGTGACTAGACTTGGGAGCAGTTGCCCAGAGAAACTGAGGAGTCTCCAAACTTGACTGGACATAGTCCTGGGCAATCTGCTCAGGCAACCTGAGCAGATTATTGTACTTGCTGATCTCCAGAAGTCCCATTCTACCTCACCAACTCTGTGATCCTGTGATTTTAAACACCCATCTTTTTATTTGCACAAACCTGGGCTGCCTTTTTTAGCAGATCCATGTTTCCCTTTGGATCTTTGCCCAGCAGCTGCTCACAATCCTGGAATCTGTGCAGGTGGCTTTGCAGGTGACTGCGCAGAGGTTTGGCAGTGCTTATCTCGCAAGGTGCCCAGCTGCCTGCTCATCCAGTCTTCTCTCAAGATGCTCATCAAGACAGCATTCAGTTTCCCATGAGAGGGTACTCCACAGGTGGAATGCCTTCTTCCTGTGTCGATGCTGGGGAAACGTCTCTGTCAACACAGACGAGCTCTCATTATGTGCTTGAGGGACTGGAGTTGCCATTCACAATACAAAGCCTGTTTACAACTTGTATCCTGCTCCCACTTTTCTCTAAGCTTTCAGTAGAGCCTAGTCCTCGTGATGGAGCTCTGTACAAGGGTGAATCCCTTGTACATTTATCATTCTTCCTTTCTGTTTCTCTCTCTGTTGTGAAAGTCCTCGAGTCCAGTGGCAGCTTTTGAGTTATTTGGATGGTACAGTATGGTTTGTTGACTGACATATGTATTTATCCAGTCTTTATGTCATATTCCTTCCCCCAAAAACTGTGGGACCATAATTTCTCTTTCTCATAGGAAAAAGGTATAAACTTGACCCACATTGAGTCCCGACCTTCCCGTCTCAACAAAGATGAGTATGAATTCTTCATTAACTTGGAAGGCAAGAATGTCCCAGCACTGGACAAGATCATCAAGTCCTTGAGAAGTGATATTGGAGCAACAGTCCATGAGCTCTCACGAACAAAGAAGAAGGACACTGGTAAGGATATGCTGACAAGGTTAACATTGACATGGACTGTTTATGTCACATACTGAAATTACTTATTTTTCCTGTAGTAAAGGAGATCCACTTGGGTCTTTATGGCTACATTTCTCTCTCTGTGTCTCTATTTTTCCTGTACTGTAAACTTTTTAATTTGGAGTAAATTTTTGCCATGATTCTGACTAGGTCTCCTGGGAAACTAGAGAGGCTCAGCCACCCACTTTGGTGGGAACAGGACTAACTCTCCATTACTGTAAGAAATCCCAGGGAGGTCAGTTGCAGTTTTGCCTTCGGAGGAAAATAAGGAAAGCTTTTTTTGAGTTGTTCCTGCTCCTGTTTCTCAGAGATTTGCTGGAGTTGAGGCTGCTTGGTGAAGTGGTGGCTGCCTAGCAGATAGTCTGAGACAGACTTAAATGCCTCTTCAGATAACAGATGTGATTTTAATAGGATTTCAGACTTTAAATACTTTAGGCCTGGATCTTCCTCTTCCTTCCTAGGAACAACATGAAAGGACATTAATACCTTCTTGAGATCAGTACTGGTAATCCTTTTACCGTTTCCTTTGTCTCCTACCCATGACATTATATTTGAAGATGAAAAAGAAGAAGGCAGATTCTCTTTGGAGTCACTTTTCTCCATTCATAGACAAAGGGACAAAAGGTTGATTAGGTGATTTATGATCATGTCAGATCGAAGAGGTTCACTTTTGGGGGCTTTTTTATTTCCAGAAGAAAGCTACAGGACCTACCAGGGTTTAACATTCACTTTTCTAGTTACTGTGAAGAAGGTAATAAAGAATTTTATGAAATAATAAAGTTGTCTATAAACATATGCCAGAGTCAGACAGAGATGCAGCTCTAAATATCATCCAGGAAAGTCTTGCATGTGAAATTCTGACCTCACAGAAGTCAAAACTCCTGTGGTCAGCTGTAGGATTAGGATTTCACTGCATGTTGCTGTGTTGATCAAAGGAGTTTTTGAGCTAGATTATCCTGTCAGTGCTTCAAAAAGGGACTTGATCCTCTTCTGTCTGAGGGGATAACTTGTGTTTGTTAGTTTCAGCAATTCAGAAATATTATAAAATGAGAACAATTTATTGCCAAGGAGAGAGGGGGAAGGTTGATATTTCTTCTTGCCCTTTCTCATTTTTTTTTTCAATTTCAACTCCTCTCATGAGCAATAAGGGTCCAGTCAAACTGAAATCCTCCAAGGACCATATTTTGAAAGGTCAGACAAGCCCTGCTTAGGGGATGAACTGTGGGTGGCAAATCCTGGGCAGAGGCACTGCAAGGGCAGAGTGAGATGGGAACAGCCTGAGCTGTAGGAAGTGTGGTGAGATGCTGTCCTTTATCAGGGATGGCATTAACAAATAGCAGGCCTTGTGGTGCCTTTTAGGCCAGCTTGTCTGTCAAATGTATCCTCCTGGCAAATCTGGTCACAGTCCACAGATGTGCCTGTGTGAAATCTTATTCCCAAAACACAGAACGAGAGCACTGTGCCTCCAGGAGCAAAATCTCAGACAGATGGTTTATGGGGATGTTGCCACACTTGTCTCAGTGGGCAGGTAAAGGCTGGGAAGGTTTTCTTCCAGAGGCAATCTGGGATCCCATGGGACTGATTCTTTTGCTGCAGCCTAGGATGCTGTCCTTTCTTCCCCGCAAAGGATTCATTTTGTTCCCGATCATGATTTGAAAAAGAAAAAACCTTCTTTTTCTGTTTCCTGTGGAATGCACACAGTCCCATTCTTGGGGCACTGCTTTGTTGGCACTCAGAGGAAATTTCTATATTCTGTCCCTTCTGTATAGCTCAGTTTAAACACTGTGTGTATGTGATTTATTGGGCAAGGGATAAGTGAATGGCTTTTTTTTTTTTTGGTCCTTTTTCCTTTTAACTGCTTTTAATGTCTTTTCTTAACTAAATGCAACATTTAATTGACACATTCCAATAGTTACAAATATCAGACTTGATCAACAGTGTAATTTTAGGTGAGAGCAGGCCAGCAAAGTGTTCTAAATCCAAATGTAGCTTTGGAGCTTCAGATGAGAAGGGCTGGCAGCTGCTGAGCCAAAAGCTCTTTGTGTATGTGGAAAGATTTGTTGTAAAAACACAGCACATCTCCTAGTGGGCCTTTTTGGAAACAAGATGGTAGCTGCAGTCCACTTGGAGCCCATGAATAAAAAGAATTAAATATTATTCTGTTGCAGAATTAGGGAAATGCAGACAATTTATTGCATTTCTGAAAAAAGCTGGGAGCTGAGGATCTGTAGGGCCCTTGTTTGCTAGACCCTGAGGCTAGCCAGAGCACTTGAGAGTGTTTAAAAAAGGGCTAAACCTGGGCCTTGAACTGCTATAAATTGCATAGACCTGTCTTTGACCCTCCTCACAATGGTCCAAGTGGAGGATTCTGCAGAAGTCCTCGCTGGCCCTGCTTTGCTGCCTCTCATATAAATGGCTTATTAGCATTCTGCTCAGCATTTGACCCCACGGTAATTTGGTCACCACTTGGGTGTCCAGCACCATCCCATAAATGCTGCTGTTTCACTTACAGACAAATCAATATTTATTACTGATCAGCCCACGTTTGCTGCTCAGACCCTCACAGAGGCCCAGTGTTGGAAGAGCTCGCCCTGGCACTTCATTAATGGCTGTGCAGACAGACAGCGAGTCTGGAGAACGGGCTGCAGGAGGATGTTGCAAACAAAATATGGGATAGATTCAGCCAGGGGGTAATTTGATTTGATCTTTTGAATAGTTTCTGGGAGGGCTGGGGACAGCGGCCTGGCACATTGCATCTAGGCAGAAGACCCACCAGTAGCCTTTTTTCACCCTGGCCCTTGATGTGAGGGCTGTATGGACTTAAAGCAGTCTTTGCCCCAGAACTGTGCTCAGAGTCTTGGATTCTTGTTTCCATGAGAGCTGAGAAAGCTCAACACTTTCAAGGACACAACAACTTATGCTGGTGCAAGCAGCACTAAGTCTCCTTGGGATTTCCCTTCTACAGCCTGCCACGTCCATCCAACTCTGCAAGCTCAGAGCTGCTCTCATTTAGCTACTGCTGGTGTTTGGGTAGGCAGGATCAGGACTTAGTGCCAGGAAGATGAGTTGCTTCTCCTCTTTAGGGAAAAAGAAAATCACCCATCTGCACACCCAGGACTGACACCATCAGCCTGGAGTCAGTTTTTCCTCGAGTCTTTAATGAGGCCTGCACCAAGTATTAAGGCAATCTTGAGAATAATATATTTAATGAAAGTAAGTCTGTATGGAAAGTAAGTCAGCAATAGTTCAAACCCTGCCAGGCAAGTCCTTTTTGATTCAGGCCAGCAAAGCCCTACAGACATCACTGCCAAAATCCAGTGCAGACTTCAGCCCCCACCAATATTTCTACACAGCTTGGCCCCTTCAGGTCATGGTGCATCCCTGAGAAGAGTGGTTTTCTCTCTAACACTGACAAATCCTTTGCTGTGGGGCTGCCAGGCAGCCTTTCTTCCCCAGTGCCTAACACAAAACCATTCACCAGTGTGCCACACCCCAGGCTGGTAGTGGGGAGTCTGAAGCACAAAACAGTGAAGCAATTCCCCACCATCACACAAAGCTCAGTGCTACAGCCAGGAGACAAACCCAGATAGAAAATGGATGTAAGTAGTGACCACTCTCTACGGATCAAACGCACCTTTTTCTATTCCCCCTCTGTGACTAGTTCCAGTGAAGGGGTTGGGGTGCAGGAAACTTTCTGACAGCGAGAGGAGAGTGTTTCCTTAGCAGCTAGGAGAACCAGCGGTGCATCCAGCGGCAATGAAACCCATCTGGGGACCTTCCTGGGTCTGCTGCTGCCATCTAGTGACTGGCTCAGCTCTGGTTTTTAGGGCAAGGAGAAGCGTGCGCGTCCTGGAGAGGGGCGGACCGAATCCCCCTTCTGCCGTGCGGGGGAAGGGGAGGCACCGCCGCGGGAACCGCTCAGCGGCTCCCCGCATCCCGGGAGGCTCAGGCATCCCGGATCTTCCTGGCCAGCTGCAAACAAATGTGAAGGCTCCCAGCACGGAGCCAGGCTGGCGATGGGACAGCAGTCCGGGCTGTGGGTGCTCTCTGCCTGGGGCCCCAAATCGAGCCCTGTAAAGCTGCTGTTGCTTCTCCAGCGCCTCTGTGCAGGTGCCTCGCAGAAATCCAGTGCCACAAGCGCCCTCCGTGCCGTGAGGCTCGGCACAAGGCATGGCTGAATAGCCCTGGAGACAGGGATCCTCTTATCCTGCAGGTGGTCCATCAGGTCTGGGATGAGCCCCATCACCAAGGCACTGCAGGGAACTCATTCAGGAGCTGCTGGCCGAGGATCAGGTTCACTTGGCACAGCCCCCAAAATAAGATGGGGAGGTATGGCCCAGCAGCAGAGCTCCCAGCTGAGCTGAAAGCCACAGAAGGGAATCAGCTGTTTTCCAAGCACTGGCTGAGCAAGAAACACCCATTTGCACAAGAAAATCTCTCGATCAATTGCAAACTTTTTACTGATTCAATCCCCTGTATTCAATTGCCATGAAGGTGCTTGACTTACTCTTTTTTTAACTCAACACATCACATCTGGAAATCCTGTTGTCTCTTATTGAAAATCAATGGCTACTCTGACGTTGGTGAAGGACAGAGAATGATGCATCTGACTCCATGGATATCAGATGGCTAATTAATTACTTTATTAAACTATATTACAGACATTGCATCTAAACTGAATCTGCCGTGCACACAACTGCACAGAACTGCGCTCATCTCCCATTCTCTCGTGACTGTCAGCAGACAGTCCAACACACACTCTTGGCCCTAACAGGCCAAGGGAACAAAACATCCTCACTGTGGGTAAACAAGCTCCATATTGCATTCTACTCTGGCACAACACAGGCACAGCAAGTGATAAGAATTGTGTTTTCCCTTTCTCTGAGGTTCAGAGAATGTGAATCTCAGACATATTCTTAGGAAGAATTGTGCCTTGCTTTTCTCTATGAAGAGAATGTGGCAGCACCTTCTCACCTTATGTCCTTCTGTAACAAGAGGGTCACATGGACAGTACGCTCTGTGTGGCCAACAAGGTCCCTTCTCACATGCTGGCTGTGCCTGAAACAGTGTGTATAGCATGTGAGTTACAAGGCAATAGAGAAATAGACCAAGAAAGTTAATTAAGTTAATGTATTATTGTGTAATGACTGCAGTGTTATGGTGCTGATCTGAGGTATTAGGATGCCATTTGTCATTTTGTTTCAGAATCCTAGCTCAAGTGGGTCACCAAGTACGTCTTATAAAGTGTTTCAGACAGTCGAAAAATTATTTATCCTTGTTATGGAGTTTCTTGTGATTCCTTTGAAGGGGATGATTCTGGCTTATTGTGAAAATTTTCTGCATTTTGATAAGCCAAGACACCAGAAGTAATAAACAGAAAATCATAAATGTTACAAGCCAGCACCAAGGTTCAGATGCTCTTGATGTTCTGTATTCTTCCAACAGTCTGAAACGATCACAAATTCAAGACAACTTGCTTGGTTTGTTCTTGTTTCCTACTATGGGGAAAAGAAATAATTTAGCCCTTTGAATATGTTTTATATGTATATATGATCAAAAGATGAAAATATCAGAAGAAGAAAAAAAATCAAATAACAAAGAAGGATACCAGTCTCTATTTCTTTTCTGTTTTGCAGTACCGTGGTTCCCAAGAAGTATCCAGGAGCTGGACAGGTTTGCCAATCAGATCCTAAGCTACGGAGCAGAATTGGATGCTGATCATCCTGTAAGAATTATTTTTAGTGATTTTTCTAGTTATTGGCACTGATGTTTATCTCAGTTAAATTTGCTCTTTTTTAGTACAGATCCAGTAGACTAAATTTCACATGGTACAGGACAAGAAGGCTACCACATTTCTAGGGTTACAATCAGCCCAATCCCTGGTTATGGAGTAAATCAAACCAAAAGTTGCTATAATTGAGCAAATGCCAAGAGATCTTAAAAATTGTAGTGGTTTTCAGAGCACAAGACCACCACAAAGACACATCTCACACATACTCTTCCCAGGAGGCTCTGATGCAGTGATTTCAGGCTCACTTTGTGTATCTCCAACAAGAAGAAGCAACATGGCATAGCCCAGAGAAAGACTTTTTTCATTCTTGATTACGTACACAGGATTTAGCTCAGTGTATTGTTATGTGGATACTAAATCTGACATGGTACTTTTACAGTGAGACATGACAAAAGAAAATGTTCTTGGTTCAAAAAGTTTATGGTTTAAATGGAAGCATCAGAAAGTTTTGTTCATTGACTTAGCTGATAAAAAAAATTGTTTTGCGGTTTTTCAGTTTTGTTCAGATACAAGAATATTTTCTGCCCCTATTCCCTCTCCAAGCAAACAACAACTTACTTTCATTTGTCAAAACACACTGAGTTCCATGCAGTGCACTAGAAATTGCTGCTATTAGTTTAATTGAGATAGGGTGATTATAAATAAATTACATGCAGTGCACCAAAAATTGCTGCTATTAGTTTAATTGAGATGGGGTGATTAGTCATTCACTACCTATTGCTTAATTCAAGACGTGTTATGTACCATGTACAATGATTCATGATGTTCACTGTGGTCATATGAGAAGCAGAATGAAAAGAGATACACTGAGCCAATGGCCCCCTTGTGTGTCATGTGGGAATAGACCAAGATCGTTTTTGAAAAAAGAACCAAGAAAAAAAAAGAAAAGAAAAATCTATAAAAAGGAATGAAGCGTCTCTCCTCCAGTTCCTAGAATTAGTTAGTGAGCACTTGTGCTTTAAAAAAGAAAGCCAGCTGCTGGGGTAAATAGGTGACAGTCCATAGAGTGCAGAAAAACAGAAACTAAAGGAGCCTGTGTTTTTAGTAAAGTGATGCATGGAATTTAATCACAATGATCTCCATGACAGCTTAACCTTGGACAGTGCATTTTTTTGGCCACTGGCTGTTGCAGTGCGATGTCATGGCTTGTTTACTAATAATTGGCTACCCCTTTTTTATTCACACTCATGAATTTACACTCCACTTCAGCTGCCTCCTGTACTTGGCTGTGTTTTGTGGCCCCTCAGTCCAGTTGTGCCGTTGACCACTGAGAGATGCATTTATGGACTGCTGCGGTGCCCAGGGAGCTGTTCCTATTTTCCCTGCTGAAGAGCATCCTAGCTTGGAAAGAAGATGTTCCTGCACTCCAGGTGGTGAAGGCACTCCTGGTCCTGAGGATCTTTTAGTCTAAACAGCAGGCACACTGGGGTGGGAGAACGGTTATCCCAGATGAAGATTTAGAGGTTTTATTTCTTATCCTTGGTTTTATTGCTAATTAGCTGCAAAGGTCAAGCTCCCAGCCGCAAGGTCTATGAGACATTCTTTGTAGTCATTAATTGCCTTCAAATTGTTGAATTTGTACTACAAATAGGGGGTTTTGGCCTGCTAAGTGGCTACTGATCCTCCAGCAGTTTGAAAATGAGCAGTTTTAAGTGTGGTTCCTGCTGAAAATCTGCCTAAAAGGTCCGATTGAGTTGATGAATGTGTTTGGAATGTGTTTTGATTCTGCTTCTCTAGGGCAGCCCAGCTGTGCCAGGGACAGCAACAAGCTTCAAGGGAAACCAGAAGGGCATGGTTATCCCAGTACTGATAATTCTGGGTTGCTCTTGCCAGGAGCACCTTGCTGTTGCTGTAAAGGAACAAGTTTCCATATCTTATAGGAAGTGGAAATGAGAAAAAGAAAAGACTTGGGGGGCGGGGGTGGTGAGAGACTGTGGCTGCTCAGCGGCTCTGCAGCCCAGGAAGGAGCGCTGCCCTGGCTGAACGGAGGCAGCTTTCCCACCGACCTTGCTGCACTTCTTGGATGCACCAGCCATGCCTGAGGGTGCTCACTGGGAGGAAGGCTCTTCACCTTTTGCACTTACTGACCATTTTGCATGGACTGACCATCACTGTTTCTCTTCAGGGGTTCAAAGATCCCGTGTACCGGGCCCGCAGGAAGGAGTTTGCGGATATTGCCTACAACTACAGACAGTGAGTACCCACGGCATGGGAGCAAAGCAAGCCCTCATCTCCTGCCCTCTCCTAGGGTTCTCACCCTGCTGCCTATCCCTGCTTTTCCAAAAGCATCCTCCTGCTGTTGGTTTTTCTCTGCCATGTGTTTAAATCTTCCTGTTCATGCATTTATCCCCAAATCACAGCAAAACAAAGGTAAATTGTTCCAGGCACTTGTTCAGAAGAGACATCATCTCCCTTCTCTCCCCCCAACACCCCTCTTTCCCAGCTTTGTTGTCTAATTGAGCAGCAGACTTTGCTGCTACAAAGACCTGAGCATTGAATAAATCTGGTATTCCCCATTTAACCAGGGCTGGGGGAGGCGTCCCTATCATTAACATTAAAGCAGGATCTGCATACACTATTAAAATAATGAATAACATATGGTTCTGATGCTAATCCAGTGTCTGCTACTCTACTTTGATCATGTCTAATCCAGCTGCAATCAGCAATTTAGTCTTTAATTTCCCAAGAAAAATAAGTTAATAGAGATGATAAATTCAGTTAGAACAGGCGTATTTGATTGCTTTCAATGATCAGATCTGGAGGAAATTCTCTGGAAACTCTGTTCCCAGAGACACTCACATGTATAGATCAGTACTACTGGGCCTGATTCTTGCTGGGACTGTAAATAACATATATATTGTAAATTTTGGGCTACAATTTGCACAGGATCAAAATATAGCCCCTGAGCCAAAGAGCTAATAATGTAATCACAAAAGGAGAAACAAAATTGGACTGGTTGATGGAAAGTACAAAATGTCAGGTGAAAAAAGTCAGAAAGACAGTTTATAGCTAGAAAATTTGGATAAGATTTTTGTGCCCAGATGTGAACAGTTCTAATGCACATTCTTAGATATCCCACAGAAGATACAGAGAAGTGGACAGGAGGAGGGGCACAACTAAAGTTGCAGGCTTCACTGAAAAGGAAAGGGCTCTTAAGTTGTGAAGGTGCTACACAGCTGCAACAATGAGATGGGTCAGTGGTTGCTTGCCTTGTATTCTTCCTAACATTAATTTAATCCTCTTCTGTATCCCTTCTTTTGCATCTGCTCTGTCCTCTTTGTTTGTGCTGTTTGCCCCTACTTTGTCTTTGGTTTTTTTGCCTCCTCTCATGATAGATTTGCCCACTGTTTTTGTTAAATGCTCAGTTTCCCTGATTTCTCTTTTCTTTGCTTTCAGCTTGCCTCTTCCCTCTGCTTTACTTTGCTTCTGGCTCCATTGATCCCTAGAACAGTTTTTTAATTGAAATTTGAAAGGTTTTAAAGCCATAGCTTCCCCCAGTAGCCCTGGAAGGTGGTTGAGGATTATTTAGGAGTGCTATAGGAACAAAAATCACCCAGCAATCCTCATAATTCAACATGATGTTTAAAGCTCCACAGATCAAGGAGAGCTGATACAGAGAGACAGAAGGTGATGGTTCTCCAGAGGAGCTGCCCTGAGGCTCAAGAAAAAAAAAAAGAGAAAGTGGGAGATGGTGGGGTGTCATCAAGGGTTTAACAATGGGTCTCTGGGGTTTGGAAAGCTTCAGCATTGTTCCAGCAGTGTTGTTAAACCTATTAAGTTACTTAAACCCCTTTGATTTTTCAAAGCTGCTGGATTCACCTATGGCCTTAACATTATTGCTAAGGAATTGGTTATTCACAGGAGACCAAACTGAATTGCTTGTGATGTATAACTCCTGTTACCTTCAACATGAGCTAAGCACGTGGAGGCCTGAGGGTGGGATTTAACTGATAATTGCTCCTTACAATTAGAAAAAGTCAAACGGGCTGGAGTCTGATCTGTTATGACACAGAGCACAGATCAGAATTTCTCTGCCACTGCAACAGATTTTTATGGATCTGATGGTTTCATGGTTTTACAAAAACCATTAATATAATGCTCACTAGAGCAAGAAGTAAAACAGCTCCTTTGTATCAAGAAAGAAAAAATAAATTCAACAGCAAGCAAGTATTTTTACAAGAACACCTTTAAAACACAAATAAGCACTGATTTATTTTTAACACAATAATGCAAGGAGCTGTCTGAAGGCCATTATCTTAGCCAAGGTCAGTAGAGTCCTTTCCAGACACTGCCTAGGGACAAGTGAGGCTCCTTTTGCACTTGTGTGTCGGCCCAAAAACATCTCCTCTCCTGCACCAGCAGCTCCTGGCCAGTCCTAGTAAAGCTGCAACATGAAGCAGAGTAAGAAAACTGTTTTGAAAATGGCAGGTGGGAAAGGACAAAGAGCATGTTGATGGCATAGGACATTTTCTGTGGCCGCTATTGAGGACGTCCATTTTCTTTCTAGTGGCCAACCTATTCCTCGTGTCACCTATACGGAAGAAGAAAAGAAAACTTGGGGCACTGTCTTCAGAGAGCTGAAGAGTCTGTATCCAACTCATGCTTGCTATGAACACAACCACGTGTTCCCACTGCTGGAGAAGTACTGTGGCTACAGGGAGGACAATATTCCCCAGCTTGAAGATATTTCAAATTTCTTGCAGAGTAAGTTTGAAGCACCTAAAAGAACCAAATTAAGTGAAAGGCCTCAGCTGTCAGTGGGGGTGGTGCTTCCAGGGAAAAACAATCCCTGATTCATCGAAGGTTCCCTATGATGTTTGGGCACATCACTTAGCCTGTGTCCCAGGTCTTGCTCTAAAGCTTCTGGGGATACAATGGGACAAATGCTCAGATGCTGTGCTGGTGGTATTCCTGGGCAGAAAATTGCCTGCAATTAAACTCTATTTAACATAAGGAGATTTCTTGGGTTTTGTGTTGCTGAAATGGCTCACAAGGTATTAAAGTCTCTTTTTCCCAGCCCTGGGACCGCAGAGGAAGCCGAGATTCCTCGGCTCTGCTTTTCAAGGTTGTTTATTTTCTCTTATCTAATACATTCTTTCTCCAGCCTGCTGAGGTCTGTCTGGCCGGTCGGTTTGTGGCACACTTCCCATCCTTGGGGGGGTGTTAACATTTTATACTAAGAGCTACGGGTACTTTATTTACAATTATTTTCCAATACCTATCACCTATGTTAGACAGTCTGTCTTTACTCTAAACCAATCCAAAAGTGCCACCATCACAGCAGAAGATGGAGGACAGGGAGGAGGAAGGACAGAACACACCCAAATTCCTCCATCTTGCCTCTTGAACCCCCATTCTAAAACCCCAAAATTCTACTTTTTCACCCTGTGACAAATTAACTATCATTCTACTTTAACTCTTGTGGCTTTTGCATCTTCATACACAGCTGGTAATTTTTTCCATGGGTTAAAATCGAAGGCACAGGTGTCTTTGACTCCGTGCCAAGGTCTCTGAGCCTCCTGCCAGGGTCTTGAGCCATCCATGGCAGCCAGAGAAATGTCCTGGGTTCCGACAGAGATTCAAGAAAAAAACCAAAACATCAACCATCAGCAAACTTTTCTCACTGTAAGGAGTCTGGATGAGGCTAAATCAAACACATCAGCTGTTTTTAAGGTGCTGTCTTTCTGTCCCTTCAGGCTGCACTGGCTTTCGGCTGCGTCCCGTTGCAGGCTTGCTCTCCTCTCGGGATTTCCTGGCTGGGCTGGCGTTCCGCGTGTTCCACTCCACGCAGTACATCCGCCACGCCTCCAAGCCCATGTACACCCCGGAGCCGTGAGTACTCTGGCACACAAAGGGTGTCGAGCTGCAGCACACCAGCAGCAGGGTCAGCCCAGCTGGGAATAACTGCCTGGCACTGTGCAGCGCTCCTGGGAGCAGGGCTGGGGGAGAGCAGCCAAGGGACTGCTCTCTTCTGGAAACGTTTATGGAACCTTTCTAGTGTGTTTAACAGTCTGCAGCCGCTTCTGCAAGTTCTCCTGGGGCAGACGAGACAGTTTTGCTACTGAAGGCCTGCTTGTGCAGGGGCTGGGATGCAAGAGAGCAGTGTACAAGGGCACTTAGCTAAGCCATTAGCACCCAAGTAGCGCAGCAAGGACATAACCTGCTGCAAGCAAGCTACTGGCAGTAAGACAGCAGAAACCCAGACCACTGAACCCATATCTTTTTCATTTTGGAGTGTTTCTCTCTGTCAATTGTCCTTTTCCACTTGCCATTTTAAAAACAGATTTCTTATTCTGTTTCATATAGTTGCAATTCTTCCTTGGTTTTGTTTTGTTTTGTTTTGTTTTTTGCTTCCTACTTTCCACAAACTCTTTTTCCTTTCTTTTAGTTTTTATTAATTATTCTGATTTTATTTCCTGGTTTTGTTTACCCCATTGTCATCATGCCAGGCTGAAATTCTTTTTTCTACCTTTTTTTCTTCTAAAAAGGTCTTCCAGAATTTTTTGGACATCTTATTCCCTTCCCCTTTCCATCTCACCAGATCACTTCTCTGTATTTGAAAAATCTAATAGTCCCTGCTGCTGAGGGGATGTATGATGCAAAAGCACAGAAAACCCTGGGGTTTGCAAGCATTTCCACCACGAGAATAATTTCAGTGCAAAATGTTTTCCTGTGAACGGTATCTGCTGGTAGGAGCAAATGCACTGAGCTCTTGACTGTGTGCTGGTTCTAGGGCATTCTTCCAGCATTGCTGGACTTTTCCTGAATCACAGTTATTCAGATGTCATGTTTTCCTGCAGTGACATTTGTCATGAGCTGCTAGGACACGTGCCTCTTTTTGCTGATCCCAGTTTTGCTCAGTTTTCCCAGGTAAGTTATTCAGTGGTTATATTATGTATATAATTAAACACACAGTAATTCAGAGGATGGTCCAAGAGCTGTGAAGGATGGTGCAGATTCACCTTTAAGCATACTGTATAAGAGTGGTTGAGGTGTTTATTTATTGGTTGAAATCTGGACACAATTCACATAGGTGAAAACATAAAGTCCAACTCCAGACATGATCTTGTGTGAATTGCTTTCTGACAGAAGCCATCATTTTAAAACCTTCCTGCAGATGTTGACCCTTCTGAGTGAAGTCACAGAGCTCATGAGTCAGATGGATTATTACCTCATGATGATATTCAAATGTTAGGGAAAATGGAAATTTTGTTTTGTTTTCTGTTGAAGTGACATTGGAGGCTGAGTAAAGTGAGGAACTGTCTCAGCTGTAAGCATGGGAGAAGGCTGGAGAGGAAATTTCTTTTTGGTAGTGTTAACGTCTCTGGAAAAGAAGCCAAACCCTGGTGAAGCAGTAAAGTTGTGTCTACATCCTATCAGAAAACATGGAAATACACAAAGATAGAAAGGCATAAAGACTGATAAAGAAAAAGGGGAGGGAGAGAGGAAAAGGGAAGGAAGGAAGGAAGGAAGGAAGGAAGGAAGGAAGGAAGGAAGGAAGGAAGGCAGGCTGGCTTGATGTAACATCTCAAAAGTCAGTTTGATCTTGTTAGTAAGTTTTCAGTATTGCCTTTAGGCTTTGCCCTTTCCAGAACTGGTGTTTCCTTCCAGATGAGCCATACTGTACCTTGGCTTCCTTGGATTTGACATGGTGATAAGCTGTTCTAATGCCTTTGCTGTGTGTGGGGGGAGCCCTCTGATTTTTGCACTATGCAGTCCTCACTAGAGCAAATCAAGAAAGGAACCTGGCTATATGTAGTCTCATGTGTCTGTCTTTTGAATCCAACTATTTCATGCCTCCTGGAAAAATCTTCATTAGCTCCCAAGGTATGAATAAGCTCTTTCAAACCATGCCCTGTCATTCAAAAAAAAAAAAAAGCTCATTCAAGGCTCCAGGAAAACTCCTTTAATCAGGACCCATCAAAAGAAAGAGAAATATATAAGGTGTGTAGGTGTGATTGATTTGCCTCCTTTTGTCCCTATCATTCTCTCAGATGTTCATTGTAGACTTGATCAAAAGCCTGCCAAAACAAGAAGAAAATTTTATTTGACCTCAATGTGCTTTGTATCAGGCACAAAGGATCATGCCTTGCAAATGGCATTTGGACAAGACCCTTTGTTCATTTTTGGAGAGATTTCTGGTTTAAAATTGATCTTGCATGATAGGAACATGTCCTGTAAACATTTGTGTGTGGTAGTAAGCAATGGTAACATTTAAAATGTGAGCAATTACATAAGACAGGGCAGGAAGAATGTTTGCAATAAACAGCTTGAAGAATAATGGTTTATTGTTACAGGAAATTGGACTGGCATCTCTGGGAGCTCCAGATGATTTCATCGAGAAACTTGCTACGGTAATTTAATAAATGAGGGCTCAATTTTCCAAAGCGCCCTGTGTTGTCTTAATTCTGCTGCCACTGAAGTCACTGATAGAACTCCCATAGAGCTGAATGGGATCAGAGTGAAGATCATGATTGGAAAACCCTACCCTGAAACAGTTGCACTAAAGGAAAATAGCTTTGTCACCCCTTATTCAAAGTGACATTTGTGATTAAACACAGAAGCCCAAACGAGATTTCCTCCAGCACAAACATATTGGGCAAGAAAAGATTATATGTTGCTACATCCCCACAGGAAATTTCAAGAGGCAGCTTCTGTAGTTATTTCACCTTCAAGCATCTCTTCCACTTTGCCAGGCAGGCACTATCCTCTGTAGTCAACATAGATCACCTGGATAGCTACTCTGAGACTACTGAGACCCAGAGCTGCAAACTTGGAATAGAACCGGGGGTATTGCTCTGAGATTAGTGCCCCCAGTGCCAAATGGGGGCCACCTCGGCAAAGAATTCTACCGGCTTTTACACTTCTGATAGATTGGGTAGTTTTTTCTGAGCCAGGGTAGGTATCCTTCAAAAGGACAGACCCAGGAGTCAAATCAGGCCACTCACCATCTTCCTCCCCTATTGCACCAACAGCTTGATCACACCGTTGCTGCAGCCAGCTGCCCTGTGTGAAGCAGGACTCAAACTTTTCTAAAATAAGGTTCAAACTTTTCTAAAATAATGTTCAAACTTCCACTGGGTTGGCCAGTCAAAATAAAGCTTTATTGCTGTAATTTCATTGCTCCTGCTGACAAAGATAAGCACAGTAAAACACGACTTTGTTTGGCATGGAACTGAACTGGTTCTCAGGCACAGAGAATTTAGTACTGTGCTTCTCCTAGGAGAAGAATTTCAGTCTGAAGGGACATTTATTGCATTTATACACTTGAACTTGACACACATCATCATCTTATATAGAAATCGAAACTCTAAATGTACTCATATAAATGGTGTATTTTTCATGTAGTAATAATAAGTTCCTGTCTAATTTTCTTTCCAGGTTTATTGGTTTACAGTTGAGTTCGGACTTTGTAAGGAAGGAGATTCCCTCAAGGCATACGGTGCAGGGCTGCTGTCTTCATTTGGGGAGCTGCAGGTGTGTTCTAGAAAATATCTCAAATACATTTATAATTATTCAAATTTCTTTTCTGAATATCTTCAGATCTTTGGTTTTGCTTCATAGTTTGTGCATAGAAGTAGGATGAAATGTAGTATTTCATTGTAGAGCTCTGATAAATGTGTAGGTGTATGGATACACAAGGAACTCGCACCTCCTTCTTTCCCAGTAAGTGGCATTATCACTGTCTACCAGAGGAGAAACTCTTCCTTGTCTGAAATGGAGTTGCTCTTGATTTCTTTCACAGCATGTTCAAACACTCTTACACTGAAATTAATTTCTTACCTTTTTGTTCATAGTATTGTTTATCAAGTAAGCCTGAGATTCGGCCTCTTGTCCTGGAGAAGACTTCTGTGCAGAAGTACTGTGTTACTGAGTTCCAGCCTATCTACTATGTTGCTGAAAGTTTTAAAGATGCAAAAGAAAAGCTAAGGTATTGCAGCCATTCCAGAGAAGAACTCCTTCTTGTCTGCTGCAAATACAGGGGATCTCATTGCCATAACAGGTCTTGGGTTGATAATCATGTTTTGAGAGGCATTAGAAAAATCTGTGCAATGCTAAAAGATAATAAACCTTTTATAGCCTCAGAATCTTGACCAAAAATGAGTAGTAACAGGAATATACCTTATGCATGAAACCAAGAATTTGTGCTTAGTGTAACTAAGAGCTTCATCTGTCTAACAAAAAAAAAAAAAAAAAAAAAAAAAGGTTATTTGTTCAATTGCAGTGATACTAATATTTAAAGTCAAATCTGGCTAATTAATGCAAACCAAGTAACTTTGCCATTACTAGAATTAACAGTTATTGTAAAAAAAAAAAAAAAATCTCATATTATCTGCTCCTTTTCCTCTGAAGTTGTCTCCAGGTTCAGTTCTGATTCTTGGAACAGGAATGGCTCAGCCTGTGTTGGGGTTCAGCTTGGTTTTCACCTTGACAATGTTTCCATTCCTGTTAAAACACCAACACACTGCCATATTTCTGGGTGTTAGTCAAGCCACTGGGGGCTGGCCGTGGTTCACACTCAACTTATTTTTCACTTGGAAATGCCACACACAGGCTTGTCCCAGACCTGCAGTCCCTTATCTTTCTACCTTTCAAAGATAAATTGTTCTGCATCCCAAGATGTTCTGCTACCTCAGACTCCCCACCTCTGAGGTCTTCCTAGCTCTCTGCCCAGCTGCTTCCTTAGCTGTCATAAGTCTGCAGCTTTTCCTTGTGCCCTTTTCTTTGGGGAAATAGCTGGGAAAGATGGCCTTCTCTTCTGGCCTGGGCTATTAATACCCTGCACAGAGCTTCTGTCTTCTCTGTATGTATCCCTGAGCAGCAAGCTCCTTGAGGACATGGAAAATGCTGCCTCACTTAGCTGCAACAAAATATCTTGGAGCTTTTTTTTATTTGCTTCAGTGACCAAATTGAAAAAAGTGGTTAAATTGAAATAGAAGTTCTGGGGTTTGGTCCGGTGCCTGTGTTAGAGGCTTGCATCTGGACATGTGTGTTTGTGGGTAACAAAATACCTTTCTGAAAAATTATTCTGAGACTGACCTAAAAGATCTCAGCTTACGACATTAATCTTCTAATTGGGATCTTGCCTTCATCTGAGATTTAGGAAAGCCATCTTCTAATGTGATCTCTCCTCTTAGAAAAACTAGACCAATGCTGCTAAATTCATCATAACCAACGTAATATTTTTTCACTGTCACACCTTGTGGCCTGTTGATTCTGAGTTCTGTTTGAGACAATGTCCTTAATAAGGTTAATAATATGGTTTAAACTGAAGAAGCTTTTTGGGGGTGGCATCCAACATATTCCACTGTTCTGGGCATATGGGATTTACCCTGCTGAGTCACAGTCTGTGTAGTGGGGCTCCATAATCAACTCCTGCGTGCTTCCCTTCCTCTTTCAGCAATAACTTCAGTAATACAAAGCAGATATATAAGCCAGTATCCTGCTGGGGTCTACAAGGAGCCTGGAACAATAGCTCTGACCATCTCATCCCATTCAGAGCCCTTCTTTCCGCAGTTCTGTGGTTATGCAAATTAATATTTTCCCAAGAACCCAAGTCTTAATGCTTTTGACATGGAATTAATTATTTTGCAGAAGAGAAATCTGCTTCACTGGATTAACTATCATCTAGCTCTTAAATTACCTGCAAACTACCAGGTAATTTAAGAGCTAGACCATGCCAGAGATTAGGTGCCTGCTTGCTCCTTGGCATACCAGGATGACATAGATCCTTGACCTTAATTCCCCAGAAACTCAGACTTGGGTTAGATTTCCTACCTTTTGCACTAATGAACTAATGAAAGGAAAATGAGGTTTGCAAGCTTGGCAGAGCCCAGTTGCTACATAGTTGGCCTATACCAGGAGCAGTGTTGCCATGCCAATAGCTTAGTTCTGTTCAGAAAAAAAACCCAGAGGTGATAAGGACAAATGCAATTTCAAGTGTGTTGCAGAACATTGTAGGTCTCAGATCAGTCAGCAGGAATTTCAGTTATTTCCTCCCATAGATTTTCTTATCCCCACAATCAACAAATGCACACACCAAGAAAATAGTTGGTGAAAAAAAAAAATTAAACTGTACATTTGTTTATGTTTTTTCCCTCAGGAAATTTGCTCAAACAATCCCTCGTCCTTTCTCTGTTCGGTACAATCCCTACACACAGAGGGTTGAAGTCTTGGACAATGCAAAGCAGCTGAAGAACTTAGCTGACACGATCAACAGTAAGGAATTGCACATTTGTTACCTTGAATTCCTCAAAACTTGGGTCAAAATAGGAACCACAAGGCGGATTCCATCTGGTTGCATTTTATGCTCTGAGCCTATCCAAGATAAGGCAGCACATATCCCCTTTCTCATGAAAAAAATACTTCCCAATTCTAGCCAAGCTTCAACAAGCATTTCCACTTGACTATAACTTGCTAAATCTGAAAAACCCAGTTTTGGAGGAGATGCTAGGAAATGGCAGATGGCCTTGAGGAGGATCCTAGCTGTTTTCAGTAAGGAAGAGAAGGAGAAGCATGGCTTTGATCACATTTTCCCCCCACAATGGCTGGCCTGCTGTGAGCCAGCTCCTCTGGTCCTGTGAGCCAGCCTGGCTAGTGAAGGCAAAGGGATGACCTAGTTCCAGTAAGACCCTAATACACATGTCCAGTTCAGCACTTCTGTGCTTATCTTATTCTTTAAGAGAATGGATATAAAGGGCAAAATACATACAGGAGAGTTAGAAATGGGCTAGTTCTGGAATTAACTGCTCTGATTATTTCCTTTGCAGGTGAGATTGGGATCCTTTGCAATGCCCTCCAGAAGATCAAATGAAGACTTGCTGTAACTTGCTAGTGACTAGAAGCTATCATGTGCAAGTGCCAGTCTTGATCTAGCCTCAGTCTATTATCTTCCAGTGAACTGCATCAATAATTATGTTATATATCTTAATTATTAGGGATTAGCAGAAAAATAGACATCTATATGTGACTCTCAACTCTTCTGCCGTTAAGACGCCAATCCATTTTTTCTCACTAATGTATAAAAGTTACCTTATTCCTGGGGACCTGTGGGAAGTCTGTACATGTTTTGTGCCAAAGGTTAACAGAAGGAGATCTTTACCATGCAGAGCATGATCTGCTGCACGTGTGGATATGGGACCAGGGGTGGGATGTCAATGATGAACAGAGTGATCCACCTTGCCTCCTCTCACAGTCACTCTCCACTCGGGGCCTCCCAGTTGTCCAAGGTTCCCATGGAGTCTGGAACTATACACCTTTCAGGGTGTACAGGGAGATCTTTTCAGGGTACAAGGGGAGATTTATCTTACAGGCATACTCAGCTGCTCACAGTGGATGGCTGGTGTGTGAAGGCTGCATTCTTTGTGTGTCCTTCCCTGAGAGCTGTCTCTTAACTTTCTGGTCTCACAACCTAGAAGGTGGATACCAGCAGCTTGGAAATGGAGAGGAAGTGTCTGTTACAATGCAGCTGAAGATGCTGGAGCCTTCCAACTCCTAACTCAGTCTGTCTGTGGCTAGAGTCCCCACCAAAGCCATGGAAGGCCTGGGTCAGCTGTGCCCCGTCTAACTGCATTCAAACCCAAACATGTTTTCTTTCAAGACAGGTCCTAAGTAATGACATCTTTTTATATCTCCACTGCCCATCTGAGCTTTAATCTCCTTTTTTTTTTTGGTGAAAGCAGTTTAATTTTTCCTGGAGTATATCTCAACTGTGTCAACAAAGGGAACCAAAGGTGGCTCCAGCTTAACTCAATGGCTGAGCATGGAGAGAGAAGAGTTTTGCTGTTCAGGAAGCTCTTTCTGTATTTATCCAATAAATTTCACTCAATCAACTAATCACTCAGTCCCTCTTGGACTGCTGCACGTTGTATAATGCTCCCTGGTTGAAGGAGGGAACTCAGCATTGGAACATTGGAGCAGAAGGGAGAAAAGCAAAGCTGAACTGCATTTCCAGCTTGAAGCAATTCTGCATCATGACACTAACATGGCTCAGGGGTCACATTTCGGTTAGAAGATTGAAAGATGGAGAGGGATTTGAAAGGCCACGAGTCTCATACCTGTGATAGTACTAATTTTGTATTTATAGTTTGAAAATCAATATGGCTTTAATGTAAGCATCATCCTTTAGGAAAATAGAAAGTACAGTTCTTTTCATTATATATATGGTAGGTAATAACATTAATTTAAGGATACCAGCTGGAATGCTTTTCAATAGACATATATTTATGCAAAATGGTATCATTTCGGTGCTTTGAAGTAACCTTTTTTATCTCAGTATCTTTTTATTCCTTTTTTTTTCTCATCACAATGTCTCTCTAGATCTTTCAATCCCACTTGACATGTATTTTCAGTGTGAAAGTAGCCCATATTTTTCTCTCTTAATATAATAGGGCCCACGAGGTAACTGTATACTACAAAGAGGCAATTTCATCCCAAGGGTAAAGTCTTTCAAACTAATCCTCAGACAGCTTTCCAAGCTCCTCTGCTTCTGGCTTGAATGACAGCAGCAGTAGTTCTATAGCAAAATCGAGAGCTCAGGATTCATGATTTTCTTTTATGTGCAAGTGGAATAGTTAGAGAATATTGATGCCACATGTCTGATTCTCTGTCCCTTAAAGCAGGTTTAAATAAGCAATAGCTCCAGCCAAAGCAGCATAGCATGGCTGCTCAGCAAGACAGATGAGAAAAAATTAAATGTTCAGCATTTTAAAAGCAGAGGAAATGTATGGAAAGTAGATTTTCTTGCAGAACAAATAATCTTGTACCTAAGTACTTTAAATACTACAAATAAATCACATTTTAAATAGTACTCCTTAATGGGTGACTTCTTATTTTCATGCCTAAATAAAGTTCCAGCTTTGCAGGAAAATGCTTTTTGCATTATCGGACCAGTGTAAATTCTCCTTGTGTGGTAAGCATCCAAGTCAACCAGAATTGAATACTCAGGTAGGAGGTAATGCCCATCTGAGGTGCTCCCCAGAACAGAAAAAGGCTCTCTTGGGCTGGTTGACTGTCACTCATCCAGCCAAGATTCTGGGACTTCCTGATGCGTGCCATTACTTAGAAATGCACAGCCAAGCCCAGCCTCCTGTGCATCTGCATACTCCAGAAGTCTTTGGGTGCTACTCTGACTAACCCACCCCAAGCTAGTCTTTCAGGTAGCCTTCCTCACTTTTATCCCACTACGACCACATTTCTTGGTGTCCTCATCTCCAGCTCAGTTTCAGGTGACCAAAGAAGCTTTTTGTGAGGCCCTTTCCTTTCAGTGACCTTGGCCCAGGTCAATGACTGAGATGGAGGGAGGCCAGTCAGCACTGGTGGACTCCTCTGGGTGTCTGAAGATGCCTACATCTGAGAGCAGCCTTGCAGAAGGGACATTTTAGTCCCAAAGACTGCAGACATGGTTGCAAAAGGGATTGAGCACAGGAGCAGTCCACAGGAAAGCATTCTATTTACAACTCCTTCTGCTGCTTCAGACGGTGCTGTCAGAGAAGACATCTTGATGTTCAGATGTAACCATCTAAATTAACCTAAATAAACTAAAAATATTAATGCTGCATCCATCCCAAATGAGTGGCCCTCTTCTCATACAGGATAAAGCTACCTGAAATGGTACGAGATTTAAAAAAGGGCAGGCTGTTGGTGGTGATCAGACATGGCCTTCCTCTCTTGTGCCAAACCTTGCCTCCGCTATTGGGGGAATGTGGGAAGAGCTTTTTTTTGTCTTAAAGCCCATTTCTCCACCCAACTAATTCAGTTGCAGCTGCCATTCAACCACCTCTGAGGAGCCCTTGCCCTCCTGGAGTCACCTGGGACACAAGCCAGGCCTGGAGGGTGCTGCAGTGTGCATGAGGGATGGGTTCTGCATCAGAGATGGGTTCTGCATCAGGGGTGGGTGCTGCATGGCAAACAGTGGCCTGCCCCACGGCCCCTGGGCCTGGGTTGGGCATGTTTGAGACATCCCTTCTCCCACACTGGCACTCACCACACCTTGCAAAGCCCACTGTGCCTGAGGTCTGGAGGAGCCAACATTCCCCAGGATGCTGAGACCTCCCTCCTGGGCACAGTGCTGCGAAATTCCCCTTGGGTTTGTCTGTCAGCAGGGAAAGAGATGAGGAAATCAAGGCCTTCCCAGTGCTCTGTCTTGACCCAAGGGAAGATGTGGTGCTGTCGTGATCCCTAGAGAACAAAATTTTGTATATCTCCCTCAGCCAGGTAAGAGGTGGAGCACAATAACACTTAGGGGTGTGGATGAGCCAGGATAAGCTAAGGAGCACATAAAAATGGCTCCATCTGCAAAGGGAGGCCAGAGGAGTGGTCTTATCTCTGGACCTGCAGGATGACCTTCACAGGGGGTCTGCACATTGTAATTTGAGGTATGAAGATATGGATGCTCATATCCAGAAACAATATTTTGATGTCAAGTGTAAGGGAAGGGAAGATGTGCCTGCCTTGTCAGGAGCAGAGATAAATCCCCCTGGAACTTATCCTGCAACCCACAAGAAAGATGTGACCCTGGTCTTTCTGAGAGCCTATTTCACTGGAGATAAAATCATGACAGAAACAAGTTCCAAAAGAGGAATGTAGCCTGGGGGCAGCACTCCACTCTTAAGGGGTAGGATAGAACAGGTTCAGATCCTGTGCGTAGGAAAAGCTCAGAAGTAGGCAGTGGGTTCTGACTCTGGCTGAGGTCTCTCTGGCACTCCCAGAACTGTGTCTGTGCAGAGGAGCCAACACTCAGAATGGGCTATGATTTGGGAGAAGAGCCCATTGGTTCACTGGGGATATAGACAACACAGAGAGAGTCCCAGTGAGGTGAGGCAGAGTGGGCGTGAGGGACAGTGTCAGACACCCTGCAGGTCAGTCCAGACTGGGAGATGTAAATGGACCTCAGGCTAATTGGTTGCCTCTCCACAAAGGAACCCGTATTCTGGGCTGAACAGCTTGCAAACACCTTCAAACAGAGCAGGAGGACTGCACTTTGAAGTTGCCCAGAGGAGGAGGGCCATTTTGGGCTCTTGCGCACATCCTACGCAGGCGGCTTCCCTTGATGTGTCTGGCACGGCCAACATAAACCTCCCCACACCTAACACACAGCAGCCAGCTTGTGTCCCTGCCCCTGGCAGCTCTGAGCTCACCACACACAGACAGACTGCATCTCCAGTCTGACCAATTCCCCTGGCCATTGCTCCCACACCCTCAGGCAGTTTCCACTCAATATCTGGCTGTTGCAATCCACTCCCCTATCTCCCGATGAAGACTGATTTGGTGGGGATGTCAGGCCCAAAAGAAGAGGCCAACAAGGAGAAGGAGATGTGTGGCATACAGTCATTGAACAGCCAAGGCAGCCTGGACTCCAACAGGGAGGATGGCAGAGCATCTCTCATCCTGACCCTCACACTCTACAATGTGAGGAAGATTGAGCTCTCTAAGGCAGCCAAAGTCTTTGAGGTACAGACCTCAATGTCCCCTTCCTTTGCTGAGCCCTCTCTTCTGTCTCTACTGCCTTCATGTCTCACAGTCTGCACCTCTCCCTCTCTCACCCTTCTCCTGCTCCCTGCCTAACACCTCGTGCTGCCTTCCCCTTTTCCCACTGTCCTGGTTTTGCTCCAGCTGCTCAGAGGGCTGGGCTGGTCTCATGGTGAAGAGGGAGAGTGCTCTGGAGGGGGGGAGCATCTGGGCACAGTGTTTTAGAAGAATCACCATTTCCATTTCATGCAAGGGCTGTTTAGAGCAGATACCAATCAGTTGTTTCTTCCTAGCAGTTGTGGTGGCCGGCATTTCAAGCACTCAGACTGTGGGGATGTTAGAAGACAGAATTTTCTCTGCATATTTGGCAGGAGATACAAAGACTAAAAGAGCTGTGAACCACACAGGCATTATGTAGTCTGGACACTTGAAGTACCCCTACCAGGTGCTCACTCTTATCTGGAAAAATG